ACACAGTTCTTGAATCGTGGACACAAGGCTTTAGAGCCAGTTTCGCAAACATCGGTTAAGGAGATGCCTGGAGTGATTATGCACATTTGCACCTTTTGCGCTTAAAACTGTTTCGTGGAAACATTCGTGTAATATACAAATTAAATGGCCTACGTGTACAGATCGAAAGCAGCTTGCTATTCCTGCTAAATGAAAACAATATGGTATCACTGAAACTAAGTTTGTGAGTCTAATAAGAAATAACAATGAGCAACACACACGTACAGTACACGTATAGTATGTGTGTGTTGCTCATTATTTCTTATTAGACTCGCAAACTTAGTTTCAGTGATGCCGTATTGTTCTTTCATTCAACCGGAATAGCAAGCCGCTTTCGATCTGCATACGTAAGTCACGTAATTTTTATATTACACAAGTGTTTCCGCGAACTGATAGTTTCTAGGTTAGAAAGGTGCAAAAGTGCAGCATCACTCCAGCCATCCCCCTTAACCGATGTTTGTGAAACTGGCCCTTATCGATGCGACGAGTCATTTCTCGTTAGGGACCGACACGCTTTCCGTTTAGGTCCGGTTTCAACGTCGTTTAACTTCAAGCTTTGTCAGTAGATTACCCACACGGCTCATTTATAAAAATAATTCAATTTCTAAACTAATGCCCATTGGCAAGTGTTACTGCACCGTGTAGTATGGGGGGGGGGGGAGCGGATGTAGAACATATATATTTAAAATTCAGCCAAATCCCAGGGCACGAACCTTCATCTTCCCCTTGTTCGGTCTTCGTCTCTTTCCAACTGTTACTTTAGAAGGAGACAAACTTGAATTAAACTAAGACTAAAGTTAACCCAGGGAGAAATTCGACATCGATCGACGAGTCATTCTGACTGGGGTTAAATCTTTATCACTTCACAGTGACAAACGAGTGTGTTAACTTGTGTCGATTTGTGCCTCCTAAAAGGGAAGCAGCCTTTCAGTTAGCCCCATTGTTTTTCTTTGCGCGTTGCACGTTTTTCTTGCGGTTGCACGCGCTTCGAGGAACGAGAGGAGAAAGAGAGGAGAAACGGGGGGTACAGAAAGTGCAGCGTGAAGCGAACAGTGCGAGCACACTCGCGCTTGGCCCATAGGCATAGACATACAAAAGATGGACTGCTTATGAGGCAGTGGAACCCTAGGTGGGGGCATCCTCCTGAGGGAAAAGGACAACATGAATTTAAGCCAACGGCACACGATACTATTTTTCCTACTGGATTGCTTACGAGAGCCAATCAGGACGCAGAGTTTTCGATCAGGTGACTCAAAGCTGAATCCTGGGGTGCTTTCGCGACGTAGAGTAAAATGATCCGGATCAAAATGATCCGTGCTATGATTGGTCAAATCTGAAATTTCGTAGCATCTCATTGAAATTTTATTCAATGAAATTTCAGATTTGACCAATCATAGCACGGATCATTTTGATCCGGATCATTTTACTCTACGTCGCGAAAGCACCCCAGGGGTTTGTTTTCTGTTCTTGCACTGGTGAACTAGTGCAGTAAACTAGAATGAGAAAAAATATGCTTGTCTTACTCCAATTTATTGCACTAGTTCACTATTGTAGGAACAGAAAACAAGCCTCTGGTTGGCTCTCGTAAGGAATCCAGTAGGAAAAATAGTACCGTGTGCCGTAGGCTTTATTTGGGTATCCGTCTTCCTCTACTGGGGCCGTATTCTCGAAAAATATCGCATGCGATATTTCATGAATATCACTAGAATATTAAGTATAATATTCTGGTGACATTCATAAAATATCGCATGCGATATTTTTCGAGAATAAGGCCCCTGGACGTGATCTGAAGGCGATTCATGTTGTCCTTTTCCCTCAAGAGGACATCCCCCACTGCCTTATAAGCAGTCTATCTTTTATATGTCTATGCCCATAGGCCCTATGTGACGTTCGAGTCAACCGGTAGTTGCGCGCGTTGTTTGCACGCGACGCGTCCCACGTTTTTCGGTGGCAAACCACTCGGTACATTTTTCGGTTTTGACGCCTCGACCGACTTCACTCCCGTCGAGCGAGAGTCGCGAAGAGCCGACCGACCCCTTGACGAGCAGGCTCGATCCCGGATCGATCGGATCGAACGTTAATTAATCTCCGAGGTTAAATCGCTGGATCTTCGTGCGCTTCTCACGCTCGGTTCCTTCTCTCTTCTTTGTTCTGGAACACGAAGTTTAATCCGTTTGATCCGCGCGTGAGACACTTTGCGTTAGTTAATGAATATTTAAGTTTTGAATGAATGTAATTGATTACCCGTAAGGTAACCGGTGTTTAATTCTGTGTTGATTTTCAGGTCACGTTTTCAAAAGTCCTGAGGTGGTTAATATCTTCATGGAACCTGGCATATGGTAAGCTAGCGAATTTCTTACATAATTGTCCAATTTGTGGATCGTCTGGCCGATTAACCAACGACGCGAACTTGCCCCCCCGCAGCTCCAAAGACGAGGAGGTGGACAATGATTGCGTGGTAAGGGCGCGCGGTCTCCCCTGGCAATCCTCAGATCAGGACATCGCCAAGTTCTTCCGCGGGCTGAATGTCGCCAAGTGAGTGAGCCCGAGATATGCGTAAGGCGAAAGTCGAATATTGTTATTAAAAACTAACGGGAGTCTCGAGCAAAGACAAATCAATTGTCTCTCTCTCTAACTGTCTTTTTTGGTATTTGTGCACAAGCCACGTGGATCTGTGTGAGGCAGGTAATTGAGACAGCCGTATTTCTATAACGCACTATAGACACAGCGGTCTTCTAGTCTCCCCTACGCGAGCATAACACGAGACGCGTTATCCGAGGGGACCCTCCTACTCGCTTGTTAGCTATTGTACATAGTGCGACGAGGCGTTACACGCCGGAATCGCGGATCTCGTACGCTGGTACGGATCCGACCGCGATTTCCGTGGATTAGTATTGTCGTAGAGCGTAATCCTAATCGTTGTCTCTTGCGAATTCTCTAATGACCTCTCTAATGTAATTGCGAACAGCGAAGGCTGGTCGCTGTGCGACGACATACGCTAACAGTGGTGTAATAACTTTTTTAGGGGTGGTGTAGCTCTTTGTTTAAGTCCTATGGGAAGGCGTAACGGCGAGGCATTGGTACGGTTTATTAATAAAGAACACAGAGACATGGCGCTGAAGCGGCATAAACATCACATGGGTGCACGATACATAGAGGTGTACAAGGCCTCCGGAGAGGACTTTGTTGGCGTTGCTGGTGGTACGAGCGGGGAGGCGCACGCTTTTCTGTCACGCGGGGCTCAAGTCATCGTTAGAATGCGGGGCTTGCCGTATGATTGTGTTGCTAAACAAGTGGTACATAATCGTTCAATGATCTTAGATCCTATTTGCGTATACTACTGTAACGAGCTTCTCGATTACATACCGTCTACCGTCCCGCCACCTTATACACCATCAGTGATTTCCTTATAGCTGGAATTTTTTCAATCCGGACAAAAACCGTGTCAAGTGTTGGACGGCGAGGACGGCGTGCTGTTCGTAAAGAAGCCGGACGGCAGAGCGACGGGCGACGCCTTCGTGTTGTTCGCCAAGGAGGAGGACGCGGTGAAAGCGTTGAGCAAGCACAGAGACTGCATCGGCAGCCGTTACATCGAGCTCTTTCGAAGCACAACCGCGGAGGTGCAACAGGTAGATTCGCGGCGCGTGAATCTTGCGACGATGAGACCAGCGTGCATTTTTACCTGAATTTATCCGATCTTGTACACAGGTTCTGAATAGGGCGACAGATCCGAAGCAAGTGATACTACCACCACCGCCCATCGCGCAACTGCCACCCTTGCTCCCGCAGCATATCATTACGTCCGGTACGCGCAAAGATTGCGTCAGACTCCGTGGCTTGCCGTACGAGGCGCTCGTCGAACACATTCTGGAGTTCATGGGCGAACATTCGAAAAATATCGTCTATCAGGGTGTTCACATGGTTTATAATGCCCAGGTAGATATCTCGGTCAATCGTATTTTCACGCAGACACTTGCAGTTTTGTCTCTCAATCCTCAATTCTCTGTAATCAGGGCCAACCTTCTGGCGAGGCATTTATTCAGATGGACAGCGAGGCATCGGCGTACGCGTGCGCGTCGCAGCGGCATCACCGGTACATGATCTACGGCAAGAAGCAGCGATACATCGAAGTGTTCCAGTGCAGCGGCGACGACATGAATCTGGTATTGACAGGTGCGGTAACACCGCCGTCGACCAAGGCACTACTATCACCCGGTACGTTGACCACACAGTCCCCCGCGACCTTGACACATCCGCCTGCGCCAGCACCGGTGCCGGTGCCGGTACCGACCGCGCAGCCGCCGCCGCCGCCGCCGCCCCTCTGGGACATACACGCACTGGTGCAGGCCCAAGCCGCTCAGGCCGTTCAGGCGCAGGCTCAGGTGGCTCAAGCGCAGGCCGCCCAGGCGCAGGCTATCAGGAATCAGGACCTATGGCTGATGGCCTTGGCATCGAATCAGTCTCCTACCTCGACCACCCCTTCACCCAACTCGGCAGTCGCCGCCGCCGCTGCCGCTGCCGCCGCCACGAGCAAGTCCCTGGCTCTACCGGGCTCGAATCACGCTCATATCCCCGCCTATGCGATGGCACCCGCGGCGGCCGCGATCGCGGCCGCCGCGGCGCTCCACGCGCCGCCCGCGACTTCAGCAGCAGCGGCGGCGGCCGCAGCGGCCACGCCGTTTTTATTCTTCAACGTTCCCCATCATCCCCGCATTCCAATCTTTCGGCCACCGGCGCCGCACGGGCTGTTAGCGCCCATCATGCCCGCCGCGCCGACCTTAAACCCGGCCGCGATAATGGGCCTGAAGCGGACGTGGGACGCCGCCTTCCCCGCCGACGCGACGGCGGGTGGCGTCGCCGCGAAACGTACGCCTTGGCACACGCCAGCAGCGGCGTTTCACGCGCCAGCCCCGACCGCGGCCCCGGGCTTGCCTTACCCAGCTCAGTTTTACCCCCAGATCTGATCGCGTCACTGCGTCGGTCTTTAGCTTCGTTTTTATAGACTCCTCCTCGGGTTCTCGCGCGAGGAGAACGGAAACGATTGCCCCCGATTTTCCCCGCTGGACGAGCGACGATTTGTTACTCGCGCGCAAGTACGCATGCTACGTGGGAATCGCCGTGTTACGACAATACGACTTTTGATACGGATCTATGTACATTCTTAGCGAGTAAGCGTTGTAATTATTCGCGTTATTTACGACATTCCGTTTCGTATATTCCGTGCAAGTCTGGCAGAACGTCATTTACAACGTTTGTCCAGTTTGATGAAGCGTACCTAACGTTTTGGGAATGCTTGGTACAAATTCGGGCGTTACTTACACGACGGTACTTAACTCGCAAGACGGTTTGTTTCTCTTATCCTAATGCATTTAGGCAGCAAGGCTAATTTCGGTAAGCATGTTAATTGTACTGATAGTGGTATATCAAATTCCATTTTTTTTTCTTGGCGTGCGTATACGTTCTCTCGTAGACGCGTGTGTTCGCGGGGTATCTATCGAAGAAAACGCGCCCGCAGGAAAAAAAAAGCTCTTCCACGTGAGCGTAACCAAGTGCCTTATCTAATGCAATGTGAACAAGTACTTTTGCCTAGCTCTCGGAATTTTACGAGATTCGCACGCGCTCCCTCTTTTATATACATATACATATACATACAGAGCGTCTCAGAATGATCGCAATGTATACGCAGATAATTTCTGGGTTTTTACCGAAAGCCAGGAATTTTTTCTGGACATTAATATTCTCTGGACACCTTTCGTCACAGGCGCGCCCCTGTCAACGCGTCAAATGTTAAAGTCTGCGAGTTCTTCCTGCCGCGAGAATAATCATTGTAAAATTTCGTTAACGATTTCAACATGTCGCCCGTGCTATCTTGTATTTTAGCAATTTTGGACGCTTACGTCTGACGATTGTGTATTGACTTTAATGTCTGATGGTTAACTAGTATCTGTGAAGAAATGTCCAACGAGAATGCTATTTGAGCAATTTTGGACGCTTACGTCTGACGATTGTGTATTGACTTTAATGTCTGATGGTTAACTAGTATCTGTGAGGAAATGTCCAACGAGAATGCTTATTGTCTGTGAGAGAAGCTTGCAAGTGGATATTATTAGAAATATCCATTGTATATGCATATATACTTATTTATATGTATATGAGAATATATTTTGCTAGAAATATTTTATTAGTGTTAAGTGTAAAATGGACATTCCATCCAATGTTATACATTCTAAAGTTCTAATTCGGACGTATAGTAGATTCTCTTTTATACGTGGCATCTATTACGCGCATGCATGTTACAATCTGCGTGTAAATCAAATTTCGTTCATTCTTTAATTAGATTCGCGAACGAATCGCACAATGATTACACTCGCTCCTAGCTGGCCTCGTCGCGTATCTCTTTATATTTTTCCGTCTATCTCTCACCCTCAAGGGATTGTAACATGCAAGCCTCGATTTAAACTAGACAGTTAATATATGTGAATCGGACCCTGCAAACAAAGCACATAAGCTCTGTTTTGCCCTGTTACTTTATGTCTGGGAAAAATCGCGCGCATACACACACATAGACACATTTTCGTACACGAGACGTTCACTGCATTTAGTACAATAATATCGTTAATAATCACGCCCACGTACACACATACACGGATGTGATCCAGCACTAATTCCATTGTGTGTGACGGATAATATCTTATAGCGAATTTGGTTGCTTGCACTGAGTGCACGTTAAGACTTGTTCATAGTCAATTTTTATATTTAAGGTCATCTTAAAATGTTTCAAATACGTGGTCAAAAATTATTTCGCCGAAAACATGATTCGCACGAATGCGTACAGATCATTTTGGTCCGGTTTCACCACACGTCGCTTAACTTTAGTTAAGTACGGTCTTAGTTTAATTCATGTTTGTCTCTTTCTAAAGTAACAATTGGAAAGAGACAAGGAACGAATTAAGCTGAGCTTAAAGTTAAACAACGCTGGCGAAACCGGATCTAAGAAGTGTACTTAATATGATCCTTAAATGTAAGAGGTAGACAAGTCTTGGTGCGCACTCGGTGCCCACCAATGCAAGCCACCGAAATCGCTATTAGTATACCGAGTATGTGCATTAATAATCGGACCTTGGTTTTGGAGAGTACATCCGATAACGGGGAACGAAGAAAGCGGAATTAATTTAAAAAAAAAACCACGCCGTTTTTTCTGTATCAGCTCTCGCGGCTTGTGATTTAACTGTGGTGTCGGCGGTATTTACTCTTTCAAAGCTGGCTTACGGCCTAATACCTTTGTGATAGTGTAGTTGGTGAGATCACACACGTACACATACACATTGAGGCGGATAGATAGATTGGTGTACCAGGGAATCGAGCATCGGCTACAACGAGAGGACACGCGGAGCTCGCCGACCTTATTTTTCGTAAAGGAGTGACCCTGGGTGAGATGCCTCGCATCACTGCCACGCCAATAATCGGGCTTCCACTTGTTCGCGAGAACCGGGAGAAAGCGACGTCCCCTCGCGAAGCCGATCTCGAGTCTGTCGCGCGGATCGCAAAGTGTTGTTTACTGGTTATTTCACTTCTTCCTTCTTGCCACGGTTTTTTTATATATATATATATACATATATATGTGTTACTAGAATAGTGGGGAACGTATCTAGCTATAGTTACACAGACACGAGACGAGTCACGATCACCGCCTCGCCGAGCCGATTACGTCCGCGAGGGTATGCGAGTATTCTGGTTGCATGCCGACTGTGGTTTCGTGGAGGGATATTACAACTTTCCTCCGGCCGCGTTCCGCGAGCGATCGCGTATAACGGATCCGATCTTTTTTCTTTCTTTTTTTTCTTTTCTTCCGCCCCTCGCACGCGGTTACGTGCCATGTATTGGCCGCTGATCCGTCTCACCCGGAGGCGTTGCGTTTCGTCCGACGAGAAGAAGAAAACGCCTCTCGCGCTCTCCTTATATGTTTCCTCCTTCCTACCGAACCGCCGCCTCGCAACGAGTTTTCCGTTTTTATCTCTCTCTTTTTTTTTTCAACGCGCGATCCTGTAATTATCTCGCCACTTTCCATACGCGACGCCGGGCAGAGTCAATGGTAGTAAATGTGCGTCTCGATGCAATCTTGCGTTCTATCCTGTCGCAGCGGCCGCGGTAAAGTACCTGTTATTATGCATTGAACATTCGCCGATCCGGTTCTCGGTATTGATAACGTAACCGTTCCGGATAATTTGCTCGAGGATAATCGAGGGCCGTTCGAAAGAGAGGAAAAAGAAGGAAGGAAAGAAGGAACGGACGTCGAGCACAATTGCACGGTGAACGATCGTTCGCTTGATCCCCGGACGCTGAAGGCGAGACGACCGGCGATACCGGATACTGTTAACTGCGATTTCGAGGGCCGAGATAAGACGAGAGGCAACCGTTCAGAAAATACAGAGAGAGATCCTCGTCCGCGAGGAACGTCGCGCGATCGTCCGCCGCCCTGAATCCCGGCGTCCCGGGATTAAGGAACCGTTGGGGTCGTGCTTTTATTTTCCCTCGACGTCCGTTCCCCGAGACATCGGGAGCGTGTCTCCCGACTCCCCGGTTGTGTAGCATTAATTGATACTATAGAGACAGCGAGACACGGCGAGAACGATGCGAAACGGACCGGCGATCAGCCGCACGGGATCGTTTCCGGACGACCGAGGAACCGACGAGGAGGAATCCGGTGTCGCCGCCAGGTCGCTGGCCTTTCGCATCGTTTCCGTAGGGGAATGGCATCTCGCAGTTGTGTCTAGCACAAGTGTATGTCGAGGGCGTGAAGATGTCCTGGCGTTAACGACAAGTTAACGCGAGCCTTCTAAAAGAAAACCCCATTGTCCCCGTTGTCTCTTCATCTTTTCCAATGTGTCCTCAAAATCTCTTCCTTTATCTCTCTCTCCCTTGTTCTTCCTTCCCCTTCCCCGAAGACGTAGGACACACGCACGCGGTATACACGTGTTTATCCATGCATACGCACACACTACACACACACACACACGTATACACGCGGTGTAATCTCTCTTTTTTTTTTATCTTCTGTATACACCCTCTGTATATCGACGATTTTATATCGACGGTGAGAACGATCATGTTTAATAAATGTGCCTTGTGGATATATATATCTTTTTGCTTGCCGGGTTGGTGGACTCTTACCCTGATTATATTACGTCGCACCGGTGGCTGCACTCTTCCGTGCAACGTCGATCCCGTTGCGCCGTCTCGCTCGCCGCACCGCGAGCCAGGCGAAGCGTGCATGCTCGGCCGATCGGGTTTTACGGGGGAACGCGCTTCCTCCTTAAAACGCGGCCCGAGGACTCGGAGATCCCGCTGTGATTCTTGCCGGGAACCGCCGAAGATTGCAACCACCACCGCGGCGGTATCTTGTTACGTTCTATACATTTTTTTTTTCCATTGGGCTCACAGGTATCTTTGGTATCTACAGATCAAGTTGGAGATTTCTGTGTCGTAACTCTTGGCTCTCTCTCTCTTTCGCTCGTTCTCCTTGTTTTTTTTGTTCTGTCTTTCTGTCTTTCTGTCTTTCGCGTAAAATTCTCTCTCTCTCTCTTTGTCTTCTCTTCGCTCTCTCTCTCTCTCTCTCTCTCTCCGTTTCTCTGACATTTTGTGAGTTTTCCCACTTTCTATGTCCGGTCGGAAGACTAATCTCTTATAAGTGTCTCCCCTCTCCCATCTCGTGATTACTCGCTCTTTCGAGACGCTAATTCGCGATTTACTTCAAGTCGAACGCTATGAAAAGTTACTCTTCAATGTGGCCAATACTTACGAGCCGTTGCTTCTTGCCTATGCCGATCATTCCAGCGGCCTGTCGGAGACTAATCTAGCGAATCTACTTATTCCTCCCATCATGTCACACGTTTTTCCCTTCTGTGTCCCTGCAAATGGCCCGATGCGAATTCACGATTGAATTGTGTACGAAATGTACGGCCTGCCGTCCGTGTCAACGTCTCTCAAGTCATGTTTGCTCGACGGAATAATTTAATTGTATGATTTACTACTCGTCTTTCAGAATTTTTCTAAAGCAATCTCTTAAAGTGACACGAAAGTGGGCTGTACTTTTGTCACACGAAAGGCGCACGCAAAAAGGCTTTTTCGCTGGGCAAGAGAGAGAGAAAGAAAAGAAAACAAGAGAGTGAGAGAGAGAAAAGAGCGAAAGAGAGAAAGAAAGGAAGGGTAGAAGGGGAGAGGAAAAGAGAGTGAGAGAGTGAGAATCTGCGTGTATCTGGTGATTTGGCAGAGGGGCGAAATCGCAAGTTGGTGCTGCATTACATATCTTATATATATATAAATATATATATATATAAAGAGATACATTATATATCGTGTTACAATGGTGCAGTGTCGATTGCTGTTATGGTAGCGGGACCTACAAATACTAACTTCTGTGCTTCCAGGTAGGCCAAGTCCAAGTCATTATTCCTTTGGATGACTGCGTTCTTGCACGTTCTGAGCACAGTGAGATTCGCGCGCACGGGAACATTATTCTTCGCGACGATCTCAGGGTCTAGTTTCATAATGTGCCTCCTAACACAGGCGGGCACGGTCGCCCTTTTGAATTCTTAGGTGCCGAGTCCAGGACCAACCGATGTCCAGCTTAAGAATGCTGGGACACGTGAAGTAGCCGTCGAAACGTTTGCTCAAACCGTGCAAGATCAGTCTAATTGAAAGTGAAATCGTGCAGCGTGCGAAGTTAGAAGATCTTAGTGGTTGTTTCATTAAAAAGGAAAAAAAAAGTACTATCTCACTAATTCACTTTCATAGTGCCGAACACACGCTGTTGAATATGGTCGGACTGTATTACTGGCGCATTACTAAATGAGAACGCTTTGTGTGCTTCTAGAAACATCTCTGCGGATCTGCACGATGTCACTCGTCGTAATTGTGGAGTGGTTACATAGCGGGCACTCTTTACGTTTGTACATACATAACGAACGATCGTGGGTACTGCGAGTCCCTATTTTTTTTTCTCTGTCAACGATAATACGCCCAGCTCGAGACCGCGGTATTACGGTTCGCGAAAGGTAGCTGACCCCTCGAGAGTAGAGTCGGACGATTTAGGGGTCAGCGGAGGGGTCCGCGAATCCCAGCGGATCTTACAAGCTTCTTCCTTTCGCTCGCGTTGATCTAGCTTAACCGGCCGACCGGATCATTTCGATCGTACGTTGACCGTTGCTCTTTTTCTTCCTTCCTTAGGGGGCACGATGTTGCCACCACCGCCCGTGGCGATATTTCCGCCTGCGGCCGCGATGTTGCCCCGTGGACCGCCGCAATTCGCGACGCCGTACCCGCCGCCGATCTTCTACTGGCCTTATCCCTCGCCGCCGGTTAGCCCGACCAATTATTACACCCCCGCGAGTGTCGGCGGTATCGCGCAGATTCCTCAGCAAGCTGCTCTGGTGAGTAAGAGCCCCGTGTCTTCTTGAAATCAACGAGCGCGTTCGTACCGTTCTCTATTTACTTTGATAAGTTTTCTATTTTTATAAATTTTAATATAATAAATTGTACCTATATTTAATTGCATCTATAAATTAGAACTAATTATTAAAATAGAGATTCAAACTGCTTCTCAGAGTGCGACACCGCGTGTCGTGTTAGCTCGCTCGTTAACGACAAATTGTTTCGCGAGCACAGTTTTTTTACTCCCAGCGAAACTGTACTAAATAAATGGTGTGATCGCAGTTGGCGCCAGCTGAATGTCTGCAACTGGCACCCGGAGCAACTACGCTGCCAACGTCTACGGCCGCGGGACCCGACGCGCGTATCGAGGCGTATCTACCACGGGTGGAGCTGGATAAACGCATGGCCGCGCTGCCGCCGCCGCAGACCGAGTGCAATCCCTTCGTCGAGGTCTTCATGGTTTGATCTCTTCGGCCGGACCCGACCCTCTTGCCCGTCCTGGTTCCTTGCCTCGTAGGTAGACGCGCGATCCACCCGAGTCGGCGAGATGGGGCGGTCGACGCCCTCAGGACCGACTAAGACGGGAATCGCGTGAAAAGAGACCGTTGTTCTTTCAAGACCGCGCCCACGCGAGTCCTTGAGAGAACAGTCTTCGTCCTCGTCATCGTCGACCAGGCTTTAGCGATATTAATATTTTTCACGCGAGAAATCTTTCGTACGCACCGCGTACGTCGACCTAGACACACACGGTAAAGTGCAAACGCAAAGGTATAATTTCTCCCTCCCCTTACGCGTTTTCCCGAAAGAAACCCTCCCAGTAACCCGTAAATTTCCGACGCGCCGGCCGCGAGAGCGACGCGTTTCTTTCTAGTCTAGAGATAGATAGGAGCCGTTGTGGCGCGATGCACAGCGGCGTCGTTTCTCTCTCGTCGTTTGTTCCGAGTTCCCCTCCCCTGGGAATGAGAACCGCGTATCGCGTATTTCCTCCTTTTAATCCTTCTCTCTCTTCTTTTTTTTTGTTTTATTTCTTTACCACGTTACACTCTTTATCATTCCCGTTGCGACGACGGCAATTGGACTTCGATCCTCGCGTACTTTTCGCCCGCGTCGAGTTGCAAGAGCTCGCGGGAATAGATATATATGTTTGAACCGATTCGCCCGCGTCTCGGATTATATTATTCTATATACACAAATTACGCATTAAATAGATTGTAAATAACAACTATATTTACCGATCGGACAACGTTTGAAGACGTAGCCCGCGCCGCGTAACCAGCGTTTGCAGTCGTCGTCCGAAACGCGTCCGGTTTGTATCGAATACCGCGAACGGTATTTAGAATCGAGCTTGGAGCTACGTCTCGTTAGTTTTCCCCTTTCAAATTTTACGTATGACTTGTTTTACGAATATTACTTAATTTAATTTTTAGAGTTTTAAGAGAATTTATAAATATATATATATATACATATATATGGTCGTTCGACCATGAATTGTTAAATCCGCGTCGCGTTTTCTTCTCGTTTTCCTCCTTTCAAGCGCGCGTTCTCAATGTCTTTCAATATGCGTGCGCGCCGTCAAACGACGACGGTGCTCGTTTCTCACGTTAGAACAGCAAATATTACAAAAGTCTTCCGTTAGTCTCCCGCTTCCGGGTTTGCCTCCGGAGAGCAAATTTCACTGTCCCGTTCGTTAATCCGCGTCATCTGCTACCGACCTAGAAGTATATCTACACATATTAATCAACGAACCAGCACATTAGCGTACAGGTGACACTTTTACGATACGACACGCGATAGATAGGAGTACGTAGACGTAAGTGAAATATATCGTACGGAACTTGCAGACTCGTTAAAGAATATTGGCTGCGACAGATTAGCCGCCTGTATTAGCTCAACTACACGATCATTCCGGACGAGTCCGATTAAATCGACTTCGCCTGAGCCGGTGGAACTCGATTACTTTTTTCCCCGCCTCGCGAAAGGTGACAGTTGCGATATTAATTGCCGGGGTTTAATTAAGGCGCACGTATATCGACTCGCGTGCCTAAGTTGCCTTCGAATCTAAATCATCAGATTCGTCGGGCCGTACGGATAAGAGCGAGACAACGGCTCTTAGCGCGTAGTACGAGATAAATACGAGAGAAAAAGGAAACATTTGTCTCGAAGAAGGGACGAAGGGAGAGTGTTTCATAGCGAGTCTTTCACTATGAAGCACGATTCGCTTCGTATTGAAGCGTCTGCTTGGAAATACATCGTCAAGACGCGGATGAAATTGTATACAACAATTTGATATCTTCTGACCATTTCTTTATAACTTCCTTGACGCTATATTGTCTGTTCTTTTTGGTTGAACTGGCTGCACTAGTTCAGATCTTTCCTTTTCCAATTGTCGTATGATATAACGAGACTGAGAAATCACGTAATCAGAAACGAGAAGTCAAATTAATATCAACTATAACAGTTTCTTCTATACGTGTGTCACGTTTGTAAAACGTTTGTAAACGGTCTGATAACGACGTCAGTTTAAAGAGGTGCAGTGGCTGCGAGTTGATCTGTTGGAGGGAAGAAGATAAAGATTCTACTGAACTAGTGCAGCCAAAACACCTAAAAACAACAGACACATTAGCTTCTTTAACTTGACACTATATCAAGACGGGTAAAATTGTAAAACAATTTGTTTAAAGAATATCTTCTGATGTTATTTTTTACAGCTTCTTTAGCTTGATGCTGTATACAAACTCATAGAATTGTAAAGCATACAATTCGTTTCTTTAATCTTCACATATTACTTTTTATCTCTTCAGCTTTGCAAGCAAACGCTTCGATCTCGAAACGATCGCCGGCCTTCGTCGCTTCTGCCTGCTACAGCGTTTCTATCCGCGCGGCCCATTCCGTTTCGCTCAAACGCGACGAAAGTGAACGAGATCGCGCGCGAACGGATCGGATCGGATCCGTTCGCGCGCGTGGTCCTTCCTCGCTCCTTCTTTTTAAGTTCTCTCACGGCAATCTCCGCGACTCTATCGCGCTTCAATGCTCCGATCCTGACGAGCGCGACTCGGGCACGACCCTTCGCGGCTCCGCGTCCCCCGGGCGCTCGCTTCGCCGTGCCGTGTTCGTTACCGTACGTGTGATCACGCACGACTGGTGCAATAGTTGGTAATCGCCTCGTGGTAATTCGTGCAATAGAGATCAAGCAGGTGCGACCTCCGATGCTGAGGAAACGCTAGACCGGCTCGGTCGAGTCGCCTGATTTGACCGACGTCAACCTCGCCGAGCGAATACTTAACTTTCCTCTCTACGACGTTGATATATTGTTATATTATTACTATATATAGATAATATCGAGATATATATGTATGTTATATAAATATAGGAAAGGAAACTGTAGACAGTCTCCTTCGCGAGTAACTTGTCTATCGCTAATCAAGTCCGGGCCCAATGCCCGGTTCGTTTGAGCTTGCACCGCGCGCTGATAATTGCAATCGAGTTGTCTCTACTCGTTGCGTGTAACGCGTTGTGCCGCTATCCAAATGCATCCGTAAGCAACGGAGGTACCTGACTGGGCGATCTCGAGATGAGCCTCCTCTTATTATATATAGATATAATAGAAAGAATTGTGTATATGTATACATATACATATATATATACACACCCACAAGCGCACACACCTATAAATTACAATTATCTGTAACATTGTAAGATTATTATTAATTGTCTACCAGCCGAAGAAACGCCGTGCCGCGACCATCTGGGACGCGGCACGGGGAGTCCGTGCGCGGAGCCGTTTCGCTGAATACGTAAAGTCGCGTCGACGCCACATCGAGTGTGGCACCGCCCAATTTCTTCGTCGATCGTAGTTGTCGGACGTAGAAAGAATCTCCCAATGCCAATGTTCGTTTCGGCGGTCCGAGAAAAACGACTGCGACGAATAGTAAACCTGATATTTAATTATGTTATCTTGACGATATTAATATTAATATATTCGATATTGTTTTGACGCGCCACCGTTGTTCCTTGTGCCGGCGGCACACTTGTCCCACACATCCCCTGGGCGCGAGCGACTCCCTCGTTCGCGTCGAAACGGTCGTCTCCCTAAAAGCGAGATAGAGGGTTGCGACCAGAGATTATTCGACGTTCGGATCCGCTTATTTATCCACTTTATTTCTGCGCGACATGTACACGTAAGGCAGCCTTGTGAACATCAAATCCCACTCGCGCAAGTACCTATGAGAGAGCACGCGGCACGACAATTAAGCTCATTAAAATCTTAACGAGCGTTACGTTGCAAATATTTAAATATATACTGCGGACGAGTGCCTTCGCGGTCTGCTAATAGGTACGTGTCTCTCACGCATACATATACCATATATCCCTTCTCTCGCAAGAATCCCGTGGATTCTTCAGGCGGTCTTTACATTAGCGAAAACTTTACTTAGAGTCCTACTTATCGCGCCGCCTCGTAAAAAGGCGATTATATCGGTCGCGCTAAGTCTACTAGTGTATGGACGGATACTTTACTAAAGGCAGGCATATAAAACATGTTTTTTTTTCTCGGTAAGAACAAGATCGGTGAGATCACCTTGCTTAATAGAAACGGTAAGTCTATCTTAACGTAAGAACGTACGCACGGGTTATTCGATAAACAGCGCGTACTCTTATTTACAGCTCAGTTTCGTAATGCGGGGATACCCTTTCGAGGAAATTTATCTATTACTCTATTAATACTCGCGAGAATTATGATACGACGTTGGACACGCTTGGCAGTGTAGTACCGTGCATCTGCAACAGATTTGCCAAATCTGGTAACTCCAACTTCTTGATGTCGTTAGCACGAGATGTAAAATTAAGAAAAAAAAATCTCTTGTACGTTTCTCTCCGCGTTCTTAAATTATAACAAGAGGAAACCTTGATCGATTCGGCGTACGCTCATCAAAGAACAACGGGGCGTACAATACTAATTACGGGTATGAGGTCTGCTTTTATTCTCACAGCTTGGTCGCAAGGTCAACAATGAATTAGTCAATTAATCTTTTGCGCTTATATCGTTAAAATTAATATATACCCCCCCCCCCTCGCTCGTCCGATTTCGGACGATATTTATCGTCGAACAGTATTCGTAACGTTATATAGCTCTAAATCTTTCGTCTATAACAAAAGAATTTTTAACGTCTCAACCTTTTATAAATATCAAAAGAATTTTTAACATCTAAATTTTGATAAAATTCGTAAATACTCATTGTACCGTAAAAAAGCTTAACAATCGACAATCGACTTACAAAATTATCTACGAGCTTCGTCTCCGGCGAATTGGAGATTCACGCTCGCGTCACTCGACCAACGACGGTGTCGTTATTAACAGTCTATCAAATTAGCGGTATTAGAAACCACTTGCGGACGTAATTGGGATTAAGTAACGCGTCGTTTGTAACACAAGCAGTCATCCTCTTTGAAACACCTGGCGAACGTGTGACGCAACAGGTACGCGCGTCAACTTCCGAGAGTCGTTAACGAGAGAGATCGAATATTGAGATCTCTACGACGTCGTGTGAGGAGAAAACACGCGGTCCATCTCAACCATATGTGTGTACGCCGAACTACTAGCGTCTTAATATTAAAAAATCTAACAGTGAACACACGTTAAATTCCTGACATTGTACAGATAATGAACATCCGCCGAGTACGAGGGGTGCGGGATGCGATTCCCGTCGAAAATCTTGCACAGACCTCGTCTGTATGCCCTCACCCCAGGCGCAGATTCGATGAATTCGTCCAAGACTCGCATACTTGATTACTTGTCAATGCGGTGTGTTATAAATAATTATTGCAACGCGTTATCTATCGGTTTGTAATTGAACGCGGAGTCTTTCATCGACGTGAATCTTCTTCGTCAGTTTCAACTTCGGTTAACAACGAGTCAGCGTTGTCCGTATCTTTGCCTCATCCCCGAGCATCTCAACCGGGGCCTTCCTGTGCACCTGTCTTCCAATATCCAGTTCGCAATTACTGGAAATGGCACGAGTCGCTTAAAACGGTAGCATATTGTTACGAACGATTGAAAATCTCTTGTGCGGTAGAGCTGGCAGTGCTCGTCGCTAGAAGACGTTTTGGCACGCGCCTCAGTTGCGCCCGATTGTAAACAACGCCAGTCCAAGGATCACCAGCGTCCTCGGAGAACTACATCGCCGTTTCCAACGGCTGACTCTTGCTCCGCGCGGTCGCTGACAACTGCGTGAGTTCGGTAGGCTCGTTGACTAGGAACGCGTCCAGGTTGGTCTCGAGCAGGGCTTCGCTCTTCGAGCGTAGCGGCTTCTCCTCGCCTGTATCAAAGTTGGTCTCGAGCAGCGCCTCGCTCCTGGGTCTACTCTCGGCCTCGTAGTGGTACGGATGCGGCGGTACTGGCGGCTGAAAGTCCGGCGCGTACTCCGGCACCGGCTCGGACGCCTGACTCGGCGTTAACGTGGCCGTGTCGTAGGCGCGCCTCGAGTCGTAATCCACGGGATCGTAAGCGGCCGACGAGGCCTCGATGTCGCGCTTCAATTCGCTCATCGAGTCGGTGAGCGCGAGACTGGAGTGCAACGGCAGCGTGGACGCGTTGTTAAAGTACGAGCTCCCGTTGTTGGGATACGCCGTGGGACCCTCCTCGACCGAGGGCGACTGCACGTTCGGCGACCAGTTAGAAGCGGCAGCAGTGGCAGCGGCGGCGGTGGCGACGTTACCGTTCCTCGCCGCAAAAGTGGAGTGATTGCGGAAGCCCTCGTTGCGATACGCCAGATCAAAGACCGGATTGTCGACGCTCTGCGCCACGCCGTACTTCTGCGCCGTGTTCTTGAAGTCGCTCGTGCTCGGCGAGTATCGCGGATTGTGGGCCTCGTACACGTCGTAACTCTGATTGTCCTCTATCGAGGAGTTCAGTTGCGACTTGTCCATCGAGTCCAGGCTACCGCCGTTTAACATGCGCTTGTAATTTGAATTCAGCGTATCCGTGGAATGTTTGGTCTGAAACGCGTGAAAAAGAATATTATTCAGAAGCCTCTCGTACTAATTTCTTTTAACTTCTTAAAAGATCATTAAACTCTTCAATTGATTTTTACGTTTCAAGTCTTTCGCACGGCTTTCATTTTTATTGTATGTTAACTCTGAAAACCACCTGCAGTCATTCGCTCGATTGTCGCATGATCTATATTTACCGCGATAGGTTTTCGCCGATAAGCAAGCTCCGTGAAGCCGGACGTGGAGCCGACCGATCGCAAGGAATGTAGAGATTGCCTGATGGAATTACGTCGCTCCAGTCTCTCGAGCTTACGCTTCTTCGACTTGGACGCCCACAAAGCGATAGCCGCGGTCAGCAACGCCAGCGCGACACCGACGGCTCCCAAAACACCCACCGCCACGATATCTTTCCTCCACGATAGAGGATCGATGTTCACTCTGGGATCTGTCAAAAACCGGAGCATTAAAAAAATGTTTTCTCCCTTATATACTTCTTTCTATCTTTTTATCCTTTGTTATTGTGTTCTGCTTTACGTACCGATCTCGCAGATGAACGAATTGGGTTGCGCGCAATGATCAATCTCGATGGTCTGATACGTGAACACCGTGCACTGATCCACGCGTTCCAATTGTTGCACCCACACACGCTCCGAATAATCGAATCGTTCCTGTTGCTTGCGTGCGAATTTCCAGAGTTCCAGATAATCTCCCATGATAAACGGCATCGACGCGTTCGCCGACTGCACGAGAGAAAGAGAGACAAGTTTAACAATACGAAATAAAACAGCGTATGGGACTAAATACGCACATTAATATGCATTTAAATTAATTAGACGATTAAAGTTAATCTGCGTTGGTAGAAATGAAGAGAAGGGATTAAATATCATACGTCTGGATGGGGATAACTCACTCTGCAAAAGTCTCGCGCGCTGTAGAAGTCCATCGGTGCGCCGATCAATATGTAACATGTGTCGCCGACGAGGTCCCAGCCAGGTGGACACTTATCGCCGCTTAATACCGACTTATTGTTCATGTGGAAGGGTTGATAATCCACCTGCAAGAGTTCAGGCGAATCTCCGCGGTCTCTGATACGTCCGGCCACCGCCAGAGTTTCGTTGTAGCCCCACCAGTTGTACCGCGCGTCCACGTGGGATCTCCACATTTCCAGTTGTCTAGATGAACGATTCGTTTATCAGCGTTGAAGTCTTTAAATAATCGTCTTGCATTTCCTACATTTGAATCAAACTTTACTTGGACTTACTGAGTTCTGTTCGTCGTGAGCATCTCGTAATCGTTGTCGGGATTAAAGAACACGTTGTCGACGTATTGCTGGCCGGGTGTACCGGCAATGATAGTGCTACGGCCTTCACGATCGACTGCGTAGTTTCTAAGAAAAAGTTGTGAACATTTTATTACTTCCGCTTGGAGATGACTTTCTCTACAAATAGCTTCCGCGTGTGGCGATAAAGAAGTATGAAGCAGGAAGGTATAAAAAGAATTGAAAGATAAGTGACTCACTTGTAAAAGCCGTTGTGAGAAGTGCTTTGGTAGATTGGTAAGCGGACTTTCTCGAATCCCGAGACCTCCAGTAGATGCATGCCGAGGTTCCCATGCAGGTAATTGAGCGTCATGTTGCTGACCACTTGCTTCAAAATAATGTTGTTGTCGTAGGGAGCGTTGTTCTTGGTGAAGTAATTCCTGAATATGGTCACCTCTTGGTAGGGACTGCTCTGACGGCCCTCGATGTACCTGAAGAACCGCGGTGTCACTACTCGATTTTAAACGAGTTTATCAACGCTACACTTACAGCGCGGGTTTGTTGAAGTTTTCCGTGAAGAGATTGTTGTGAATCCATCCCTTGAGGGACGTCGCCGAGCCTCTCGAGTCCGCGCGGACGGAAAGACCGCCCTGATTCCGCTGCACCAAGTTGTTCTGCAATGAAACATGAATTTCAAACGATTAGAAATCTCGCGACGCTTTGAGAAACGTTGGGAGAACAAGTTGAGCGTATCACGCTGCACTTACTCTGAAATAGAGCGACTGCGTGTTCTGGACATCGAACCACAGCGCAGATTTACAGGTGGAGAAGTTACCGTACAGCTTCTCGCAATTGTTGACAAACTGATTACGCTCGAGCGTCATTATGGCGTTCACTTCGCCGGCGCTCGCATACTTTACGGCTCCTTCGCGGCAGTTGGATATCACGGAGTAGGAAACGTTGTGCTGTACGTCGCGATCTGCCAATTACAAGAGTGAACGAGTGACGAGCGGAATGCGTGAAACGGACAATAAGAAAGCGTTACGCTCTTTCGCCGATAAAACGAGATTAAGATTACGTACTGAAACCAATGGCGGATATCGGGAGAGTCACGATTTCCGCGATAAATCCGTGCACGCTGCTGGCGCCGTTGGCGAATAATCGAATACTAATGCTGGGATTCTGGGTTCTGAACAACTTTTTCTCGTCCGGAGTATTAACTACCAGATGGCCAATCTCCTTGGTGGTGATATTGTAAATGTCCCCGTCGTATAGAGTTATGCCATCGGCGCGGCCCGGCTTGCCGGTAGAGTTGTAAAGATTAAACTGCAAGAGCCTGCAAAATCGAGATGTTCGCCTATTAGCTTTCATGAAATTCCTCGCGGAAAGCAAAAAAAGACCGTCGCGTACCTGAACCCGAAAGGTTTCGCTCTGTAAGCGCTGCGGAAGATCTTCACGCAATTGACAGGATAATTATCGTATTTGTAGTACACGAGCACGCGCTCCTCGATCGTGATTTCTTTCGTAGTGTCACATATGTCGACCATGCTGAATAAATGATAAGGAATATTAAGATCCTTAATAGGCGTGAACGAGCTCTCGTCCGCCTCGCGGCCTTCTCCCGTCAAGGACAGTACGTTCACGCCGTTGCCGAGGACGTTGTCGATCGTGTTGAATAACAATTCCACCTGTAATATACATAAACACGCGTGCGTTTTGAACAAACGATAGAATTAATTAGTGTTTTGTCGCATACAAATGTGTGCCGCATACCGTGTGCGTCGGAGATACGACATTGATGCCGTGATAAGCGCTGCGAGCTATGTTTACGTGCACCACCGCCGGAGACTTCATGATCGACTGTACAGCAGACGATTTCTCGAAGTGTAAAATCCCAGCGCCGGTTATATTGATGAATCTCAAAACCGATTCGACGCGCTTGACCGTCTCGTGGGTCACGACGTCGTGGATGCGATGCTCGTACAGATGATGTTCGAACTCGCTATTCGCGATACGTATCCCGCCCCAGTAATCGTGCGCGTCGTCCAAGTTTCGCTTGCCGCAATGCAGGAAGATGAACTGCCCGTCCCACGGGCACTCGTGACGATGACCGAACAGCTGACCGTTCAATCTGATCTGGCAGTCCTCGAGACTCTGCTCTTTCCCGAAACACTGTAAAACGTTTGACGTTTATAGAGAACTCGCTGATTTTCCAGAGCGAATCGAAAGCGAGGCGAAGTTAATCCGCACCTGCAGTGGCTCGGGCCAGGACCAGACGCGCGTCAGCGATCCAGGATGTAGCTCGTACCTACGATCGTACGACACGTAGACGTTGAGAGTGTCGTAGCCAAGTTGTCGACACGCCACTTGAGCGTTGCGCTCGGTGAATCGATCGTCGCACAAGGGAATCCACTGAAGTGTCGTCTTGTTGAAGTACTCTATGAATCCTGTTACGAAAAACACCCAGCTAAATATATAAACATGTGATAACGTAATATAAAAATCTATCTAGAGAATCATTATACTAATAAATTTTTATTTCTAGATAAAAATTTATCTAGAGAAGCGCGGTGAGTGAGATGAGAAAATTGAAAATGTACTGATAAGCGACTGGACTCTTCGGGAATGATCTTTTCCCTTTTCGACCTACCTTCGTTGTGCGACACGGAGCAACGTCCGTCCTTGCACAGGCGGATCGTCTCGTCCGGCATTGACATGAGATTGGCGGAAGTCCTCGTCGGCGTCAATTTGGAGAACGTAGAGTTCGCGCTCGCGTCGACTCGTCTCATCGGTCTCATTATTATCTCGTGGCCGGGCACGCCGACGGCTTTCAACGTTCCCAGAACCAAAATGCCGACGTTGGGAGCGAACTCCATTACAACGTCGGAATGGATGTGCAAGGTAGCTTCCGGCATGACCGTGATGTCGGAATGCACGAGATAGGGCTCGGGTCTCGCGTGCAGCGATAGACTGTCCACTATGCGACCGCCCAGATTGTTGAGGTCGATCTCCCGATTTATGTGCCACGACGCAGAGATGGACGCGTCGAATGAGTCGGTCATCAGGTACGGCCGATAGTTGGCTACGGCGTGATCGTTCCAGTCGTCAAAGTCGAAGATTCTCAATCTGCGAAAGAACAAGTTTAGACGAGTTTAGAGTTTTAGCATCAAGCACAAATCTGCAGAAAGCACGGATTTACGCAAAATTACCTGATAGAAGTGTCGTTAGCGGTGCCCCACCAATTCTCCATGACGTCCACCTCGTTGTTGATCTTGGCGGTCTTGATACCCGCCAATAATTCGTAATCCAGCGAGTTCTCGCCGAAGAGATTTCTATTGACCCGCACCTTCTGTATGCCGTGAAAGCCGACGACGTAGCTGGGATCATCGAACGTCCGGCGTGGTCCCATACCGACGAGATCGTACGCGTTTCGCTTAATCTCATTGTAGTAGAAGCGCGCGTAAACGTCGCCGAGGATCTCGGACTGGCTGTTCGCCCGGAACTCGACCATGTAGGCGCCGGTGTTACCCTCGATATGGTTGTTATCTATTCGGATCCTCTTCTCCATTCCACGTATAGATATCAGGCCGGTCTTGCAACGATTGCTGTCGAAACGATTGTGGGATATGTTAAGGTGCGCGAAATGTCCGTCCACCACGAAGCCGAACTGTTCGTTGTTACGCCAGGTGTTGTTCCCGAAGTACAGGGAGTGCGTGAAGTTCTCGTTGTACTGCCAGACGTCCGGTAGCAACACCTCGAATCCACCGCCGTGATTTCGCTCAATCGTGCTGTCCTGCATTATCCAATGGAAGAGGTTGTTGGAGTGCCTCGCGTCGCGGCTGAACTGATGTATCCCTTTACCGTTGTCCGTGATCAAGCTATTGTTCACGTGTATCGAGATCTCGGACAGATTGGACTGGAAGATGTTCCAGTGAGGCGAATACACGTAAACGGCCTCCTCGCGATTGTGCGATATCTCACATCCAACCAGCTGAATAGTCTCGTTAGCCTTCCGTAGAAAATGATCACCGATCTCGTTCAGGTACCGATTGTAGTAGGACGCGAGTATGCCCTTCTGGTTGCTCTTGATCCTCGTCTTCGTGACAATTAGCGAAGGAATTGGGCCGCTCACTATTTTGTTATGAATATTCTGCAAACGCAACCGTAAAAATCAATATCATATCTCTGCATCTGTGAAGTGTAATATTTACGCTTGAAATATACCTGAATTGGAGCCAAGAGCGACGTGAGAACTATGACTGCTCCACCGTACGCATTCTCGCCGCTGTCGTATTCCAAAATTACTATGAAGGAACTGGACGACACAGGGAAAACGCTCAGGTCCCGTTTTACATGCCAAATCGTTTGATTCTTGTCGAAACGTTGCGAGTCATGCAGTATAATCTGTTCTGTGCTTCGATTATCTATCGGATTCAACAGTTGAATACCAATGACGTAGCCTGGTGTGCACTGTAATAAGTTCAAAGTTAGCCTGATTGCGACAACAAAATATTGTACATGTCGCGGGAGGGAAAAGAATTCACCTTAATGTCGATGGTACGCCGGACGGGTTTGCCGGTTACTCTAGTCGTTATGACGTATTTGGTCTCCCCGTTAGCGAGCTCGATGTTCTCCCTCGTTTCCGGCAAGATTATCGGATTGTACGGCGAGTCGATCGTGGAGTCCGGCGCGCGCAGGAACCATCCCGCGAATTCTCTCTGCTGCACGGCCGAGAGAGCGGGATTGTGCCTTATTCCCGCGACCTTGTTGCTCTCGATTCGCGAGTTGATGATCCGCATGCCCAGCTGCTTGAAGCTGATGCCGTTCCCGCCGTTTTGCGAGAAGTCGCTGTTCATCACGGTGTTTATCGCATCCGCCGAATATATGTCCGAGTACAGAACTCCCAAGCCGTCTTGCAGATTGTTGAGCACCTTGACACCGTCCAACGAGTGCCGGGCAAAATCGATTTGCAAAGCTGCCGCAGAAGATAACGTTATTTGTAACGTGATGCTTGGCCCAGCAATTATTAATGAAAATCTCGGGATTACCTGGCTTGAACGAATTTGTTTTGTAATCCAGCAGGCCCGCCTTTTCGATCGTCACGTACTGCAGGTCGCTTCTTTGAGCGAGTGGTCCCAGTCTGAGACCCGCCCACGCCACCTCCAAACACCTGACACCAACGTCGTTCGCGTGAGTGCACGAGTTCTCGAAGTCCTGCTCCCTTTGCGCCCGACATTGAGTTATATCGTTGTCGTATTCGGTACACCGCACGTTGCTGAGGAGTATGTCCTCGTTGATCCCCGCGTTCGGAATGTGCGATCGCTCCATATTCCAATTCTCGAAGTCGAGAATGAAGCCCAATTGATGGCATACGAGCGCTGCATCCAGAATCGTCCATCCGTAGTTGCACACAGTGCCCCATTTATTTCCAATTTTTACCTTTCAAAATAAGAGAATAATTACAAATTCGCGATTCTCTTTTGTTTCAGAAGAAAAGAGTCGATTAATTTTCTTTTTCAAACTAGTAAGTGAGTCTCGTTCTTTGTAATGTAATTGTTAAGTTAGCTTTATGTATACAAACGTTTAGAAAATTGAAAATAATTGAATTACCTGCAGTCTCCCCTCGAGATTCGTTTTTCCACCGAGAAGCCTCACCGGCACGGATTCTGTCTCGTCGACCTGAACCGTTTCCTCATCCGCGAGGGTATCGTTATTTGGTAACACAACGAGCTCCTCTTTGAGGGTGAACAAGATATCGCTGGGCTTCTTGCCACGCGCGTCAAATTTACCGGCGACCATCATTCCCACGGCCGGTGGGAAGCGTAACGTAACGCCCGGTTGCAATGTCAGCTTGCCGCCCGGTCGCACATTGATATCACGCTCGACAATGTACTCTCCGGCTCTCAACTCCTCCTGGCCGTCAACCTCGCCCCCAACTAGATTCGTACCAGGCGTGACAAACTGCGGTACGAACGTCGGGTTCGGTATGATGGTATTCGCGCCCGGATTGCTGCTATGCAGCAAGTAAGGCAAATACTCGATTTTGGCAAGATTGTATCTGTCTTTCCTGAGCAACAAAAATTACAATTACATGCCGTTGTTGCTATCGCGACAATTGAAAAATGTTAAAGCGATGAGACGTACCTGTGGAATAATCGTTCGAATATCCTCTTCTCTTCGGCGGAGCCTAGCCAGTTGTACGTGCAATTGATAACTTTACTCTGATCTTCCAGGTGGGAGCCGATCTCGTAGGGCGACTCGGGATTGTGTAAGATATTGCGGAAAACTTCGACGTTGCCCGAAGACACGACGACGACGGCGGCTACTCTGGAGCGTGGTATCAGTTTGACATTCAGCATGTCGCCGTTGTCGAACAGCTCGCGGACGCGATTTTCTCGCAGGAAGTTTCTCGTGAACAGTAACTTTTGCGCGTCGTTGTAAGGCGATAAACCAATGTTGGCTACGAAGGGGCCGCGGTTGTTATAAAATTCGTTATATCGTATCACGACCTGCGCAGGCAGGACGTTAAACTCTTCGTAGAGCGGATTTTTTATCAGAATCGCGCCGGCCGCTTGATCCCTGAAATGATTGTACTCTATAATAGCATCGAGATTGAGCGCCGGGCTCATCCTGATCGCTAATTTCGCATTTCTTATGAACGAGTTGTGCCCGATCTGCACTCTCATTAATCCATTGTCCTTCCTCCAACTGGATTCCACTTGCAATACTGTCTCGAGGCTCGTGTTGAACCCGTTGCCAGTTATATTCACGTACGAGTTGCCGGTTGAATTACCAATCTATCCGAGAAGATGCCGAAGTTAATTCACGTACCGTACGTAGGAATGTTATAATAATTAGCTACATAATCGCAATTGTGTGATGACAATCCATATTTGCGCTTACCAAGACGCCGATGTCCTTATTGCGAAATATCTGCGAGTACTCGATCACAGTTGATTGATTGAAGTGCACGTATTCGGTGGCGAGGCTATCGTTCAACCATACCGCGAAGCCGTAACCGCTGTTGGACGATATACTGCTGCGCGACACGTTGCGATTGCCGCCCGTAACGGTGATGTTGACGCCGTCCCCTTGGTTAAACGAAATACGGCTGTCGGTGATGTTGACGTCCATCGCGCCACCCAGCACGTGCACGCCCGCCACGTGATCGTTATTCGATACCGAGGTCTCGTGAATGTGCAAGGCGGACCTTAGCTTCTCCACGACGATACCACGGCCGCTGTTGCCTGTTATCGTACTGCCGGTCACGTTCAGATCGTACGTTTTCTCTGCAAAAAGAGAAGAACGTTAAATGCCTTTCGTCAACTTAACTTAAGAGAAAGATTCACGTTACGCCGGGTAGCGCGTAAATTCTCGTTGGACTTACTGTAGCCCGACGACACTCGCACGAACACGATCGTGTCCGTTTTGGGCTCGGCTGTGAATTTCACGAAGAGGTTCTGTCGCGTTGAAGTCACGCTCTGCGGTAACGTCCCATTTCTGACTTTGACGCTGGCCAAGAGTCTGTCCGCCCCGCTTATACCGTCGTGCACCTCTATGACGGCGCTGTCGTTCCTGTCGGTTTTCATTTGCAGAAAGTGCACCGTCAGGACGTGGCCCGGCCTCGTGAAGACGTGCTAAATAATGTTATTGCCGTTAATAACGTTCTTGCCTCGTTGAAATTTCGTATAAAGCATTTCTTTCGCTGTTCATCTCTCTAAAGTCTTTTGGAGTGAAAATAGAACCATGGAATAAAATTCTACTCTATTAGAGTGAATGTTTACTCCAACAGAGCGAACATTTCACTCCACGGTTCTATTTTCACTCCCAAAATCTTTAGAGAGATGAACATCGTCAACTCACTTGTGGACACTGTTTTACGTTGGGCGCGTATTTATTCTGCTCCATAGATATAGTGACGGGGAAGGTCTGACTGGCCGTTGTGGGGAAGGTGCACAAATCGTACACGTCGTTACGATCCAGCTTCTCGTCCGGCCGCTCGTCCGCGTGCACGTACTTGATGCCGTCCGCGCCGTTCTCGAACACCGTGCAGTTGTTGATGTGCGCCATACCGGACGAGCTGTTTACGTAAATCCCATATCCTGAAATAAATAAGTAGTTCACAGTAAGCACAGTACAAATCATATTATTCTACGCGGTATTTATCAATAGAATATTGGAATGTAGCAGACGAGAAGCGCAGAACGATGGAATTGCATCTTGCCTCTGTTATATTGCACGGTACAATTATTTATTATGACCGGCGCGTTCGACGTGGTGACGTTAATGCCCGTGAGAGCGGAGTGGAGAACAGAAATCGACTCCATTATCGGCGGCACGCCCTCCACATGAATCGCCGATGTTACATTGTACTCTCTCCCCGTCCCAGCGTATCTGTTCGCAGGATCAAAACAGTTTTACTTTAGAAATGACCGATTGATGTCTCTTTGGCCCAGATTCTGACTCCTCTTTTATCGATAAAAGTGCCTGTAAAAGATCTTTTCAACCAATAAGGATCCTTCAAAGCTAATTTTAGTGACACTTTTATCGATGGAAGAGGATTCAGACTACGGACCTTTGAGGATACTCACTCGATCACCGTGTTTCGCAGAATGGACCGCGATCGACGCACGTAAAGCGTGTTCTGTTGAATGAGCGATTTGTAGTACACCGCGTTCTCGAATCGTATCCCTCGCCAATGCTTGATCGCCTTGGTCGTACCGTCGTGGAGCGGCAGGCAAGAAATGCCCAGGTCTGGATGATAATCTGTAAGATGTTACATCGGATAGATCAGTCGGGTGTTGCCAGTAATTGACTCGCAATACATGCGATCGAACTTAACCGCAGTCACACACACAACAACGAAAAGTATTATACAAATTAAATTATGTATCGTAATTTTTTTACAATAAGATTCTTTTTCTGTTAAAATTTACCCCGAAAATCATGTAATCGTAGGACCACATGGCATTTTGAAGAATTTTATGAGTTTTTTTGAAATTTTACCGTACATTCTGCTAGTAACCCAGTCAGAAATGACTCGTCGATCGACGTTGATTCGACATCGTTTCGACGTCGATCGACAAGACGTTTCTGAGTGGGAAAATGTATAATAAAATTTCAGAAAACTCTCATAAAATTCTTCGAAGTGTCATGTTGTCCCATGATTTTCGGGATAAATTTGAAGAAAACGTTCTCTCCGTGTACAAACGCGACATACATACAGAAGGATTCCGGAGAAATCTGCAAACACACTCACCGCAGACACCGGCGCCCAGTTCTCTCTCCGACCAACGTTCGCAGGTCGTCAGCGAGGGCTCGGTGCCGCGGCAGCCTGGCTCCTCGTAGAGAAGACGCGGCTTGGAGGGCCATTGTCTGTCGACCCACGACCACCACTGTCCGCCCTGATAACCGAGCTGCCGGCACGCTGTCTCCAGATCCGCGCGGGTCCAACTGCAACGAGAGAGATTCTACGTGAAACAATCTGCGCCGGCATATCTCCATTGTTGTCGGTTACGTTCGCTGGCCACGTACTTTCGTGAGTTCGTGCAGACGGAACGCCAGGCACCTCGATGAAAGAGCTGCAGCCTTCCCGCTAGCGGACTCGGTCCGTCAACTAGGCGTATCGTGGGCGGCGTTTGCAGAGCTGGCACCTGCGTTTCCACTTCCGCCGCGGTCAGCAGGATCGGCGCGTGTGCTTCGCCCTTTCGACAGAATTAAATATCGTTAGGAAATGCCAAACCAAAGCCCGTGTATCCGTAAATTAAAGTCGCGTTTGAAACGGGATGTTCTCGCAAGGAGGACCGTGACAAAAATAAAACAAACTGACGCAACGCTGCGGACTTAGCGCGTCGCTATGTTAAATACAGCTGGCAATAAAAGCGGAAGGACATCCTGTGATTCAATGATGCACGGAGATTACGGATGCACGATCTTCCAGACTGTTAATTGCTTTCGCTCGATTTAACTCGCACGTTTAACTTCGCAGCACCGAAGGCCGAAAAATTTCATCCGCGCCGAGAGCGGTCGTGCCGAAGGTCTTGGCACCATACGTCGTCCCGAGTCTATAAGAGGATTACCGAGGTCATGGGTCAATCGCGCGAGGGCAAGAACCGCCGGTTGACGCGTGACCTGAAACGCATCGCTTAGAGTATTAGAGGCGGTGCCGCTGCTGAATCACTCGACCGTACGGTGCGCGCGTTGTTCGCATCCCGTTCTTAATTATCCGATTAGCGCTTTCTGCGGACCCCTCTCGACGGCCCTACACACCGGTCGACGCGGCGGAAACGTTGCGGACAAGTGTCCACTTACAGAGATTAGAACAACTGTTCGCTCGCCTTTAAGCGGTTCAGAATGTCGTCTCCATTAGCGATAGCGATCTTCGATAGCAATTCCCAGGTGGTACGAACGACAACTCGTTAGCGGAAACTCTCGCTCCTTACCCTGGTTTTCAACGTCTTTTCACTTTGACTTGCAGTTAGTTCAATTCAAATTTGAAGGAACAAAGCGCTAAGAGCCGTGGCAGGGTGTAAGCGTCTAAATATTTCATATTTTAAATGTATTGCGCAAAATATTACCTCAGCCAGGGTTTAAATTTAAATTTAAAATATGAAATATTTTGACACTAACACCCTGTCACGGCTCTTAGTATTTTGCTCCTTCAAATTTGTGTTTATCACATTTGAGCCATACGAATTTTATTAATTTGTTAGTTTAATTAATCTCTTTGTCTCTTTCTAAGGGGACAGTTAGAAAGAGTCAAGGGGATGCATTAAACTGACAATAAGATCAAAGTTAAACGACGTTGGTGAAAACCAGGATTAATGAATTAAAACACCGATCCTCTCTGATTTCCCTCCGCGAGTGTATTAAGTGAATTTCGTCAAAGCTGCGGATACACGCGCGCGACACTTTCGCGCTCTAATTAAAGAGATAATTTATTTCATGCTATTTTCTAAAAAAAAAAAAAACTTTGATGACTCGACCCTTGAACAGTCCCCTTTCATTAAGTTACTTAAATATCGCGTGTAATAGCGTCTCGGCACTTGGCCTTTCAATTGTTTAAAATATTTTCGTGATTGCAGCGCGCGGTATCTGTAGAAATGATTGAGCGCGCGCGTGCCTCCTTTAAAATTGCTACGTGCGAGCGTAGCAACCCGCAATTAAAATAGCAACAAGATAACGCCTAATAACACTCGTTAGTGGCATTAACGCGTAGGTACGAGTGCCATTTCGCCGATACGTCCACACCAATAATGCAACAATAAAGGCAACGATGCTCGCGTGTCCGCGGCGTTTCCGGTCAACCGGTGTCCTCCGCTCCGCGCGCGAAAGGATCCCTTTCCTGCCCGTACACCCGTCGCTTCGCATTCTTTCGCGATTACATTTACCGGGCCGGAGTAAAGCGCGGTGCTCTTTATTTTCACAAAACCACCTCTAGCTTTGCTATTATTAGACAAAAGCTCGCCGCGAAATAACTGACATTACCGTCGTCCCTTCTCGGGAAGATGCCTAATTAAAGATTATGAAGAAACAGCGCTCCTGGCACTCTTTTATCCTTGCTTTGATCGTTCTCGAAATTAGATTTTACAAAATAATCGCAACAGAGAGTTTCCGAGACAACGGATAATTTAAAGGCCGAACATTTAATATAAAAATCGAAAGATATTTCGTTTTGTATCAATTATCGAACGTCACTTTGACACTTGACGGCATCCAATAAAACTCAGGATATTACCGTTGGCTTTTCAACAACGATTACCTCCGGTTTTCATCACGAAAGTTTGTTTACCAGAAACTCCACGGATGACTCGACTCGCCGGTAAAAATAAAAAGGAAGCGATAAATCGCCGGCAAATAACGACAAGTAGTCCGTAACGCGCACCCAAGCAAAGTAGAGAACATTCGACAGTTATGACGATTATAATCGCGCCGGATGAATGAGTTAAAACCGGGCGAGCGAGAGTGCAAGATTATCGCGAATACGCGAGGGGATTCGTTTTTCTCGAGATGGAATCTCGAGTATTTAAAAGCGCGAGATTACTGTACGCAATAAATCGTACAATCTTTTATAATGCGTTTACAACTCATGGCGAGTTTGTAACTCACTTAATTCACGTTATTCAATCAATTTACCTAACTTCAGCTTTTAGCCAAGAGGTGGACTTGGTTTACAAAAGATTCTAAACTCACTTATACTTGCACTCGTGCATCATTTCTCGCTACGTTGACATACATATCTTTCCTTACTATGACTAGTGTTACTGCCTTTTTTAGTTTGCGCTTATTTGTAGAGAAAAGTCCGCTATTATGAGATAGGATCCTAATATGGGACAGCGTGGTTTCTGTTAAATTAATAGGCAGCCTCGGTTGATTCCACCATGAATTTATTGCCCTTGGTGCGAAATCTGTGCAGCGGAGAATTCATTGTTGGATTGTGTAAATTGCGAAAAAAGATTTGTAATTGAATTTGGGCGTTGAAAACCTGCTATCTGATATTAGAAACCTATCTCATAGTAGAGGACTTTTCTCTTTAACATCATTGCACTTGTACGGGACCATACATTCTATTATTTGTACCTATATTATTGCTATTCTTTCTATTTCGTTTACTTAATTTACTCTTACTTTAATTACTCCAAATTACTCTACGTTATTTAGATTACGCACTTAATAATTGACAGTTTTAACTGGCGACTTTACCGTGCGTAATTTACGTGATAAGGGAAGTCAGAATTGAAGAAGCCGAGCATATCGGGTCTCGTGTTTAAGCCGCAAAACGTTACGGGGCGCGAAACGTGTAATTATGAATCACGTTCTTCCACGTACTCCGCATCGTTCGCTCCTAAGTGATTATGAAACCTGGCTGATAACAAAGTTGGTATGACTCCAATCTCATTATCAGTTAACGGTATCAACGGCGCTATCGATTCTCAACGTAAATGACGATATAACCGAGCCTTCTTGGCCGCTTTACTGCCGATAATAACACCGCCGTGGGACTCGCAACTTGGACTTCTTACGCATAATGTCGAAATTTCGCTGGAATCGCAATTTGCCGGACTTTCCGAGAAAGCAATTTACGCTCCAGCCGATCCCCCTCCCCCCCTCCCTTTCTCATTCTGCCGCGCGCGCGCACGTAGTAACACGTGCACAGTTGCACGCCGCGGTGAGTCATGTCCATTCAACGTTGCAAGTACACACGCCCATCGATATTCTTCGCAGCTGTAAGGATGCTGTCCGCAATTATCCGCGTTGGTATATCTCGCGCATATCCAACAAGAGCCGTGGAATATCTGTATTCTTCCCTGCTAGGTCAATATTCTTGTTACATTGTTAAATATTGGCCAATGCACTTCCAATATAAATCTAATATTATTATTATCGTATAATCTAATTATTGCCGTGCAATATTTACATACGTCTATTCCATGGCCAATAGTGGATTTACGTTGGACAATATCAGCCAACGCATTTCTAATATAATCAACGTTGGACTAACGTTCCGCCAATGTTTAGCCAATGCACTGTGCTCCCGGGCGAGAATTTTCAGTGAGAGATGACGTTTTGATCGATAGTTACATTGTTTATGAAACGTTTTATCGATGGTTACACCGTTTGCAAGTACGTTGCAAACACCTGGTTAATTCTTTACTGACAATAAAACGTTACAAATACTTAGAAAACTATAGTGGAAACGTTCGACGTTGTATCATTAAACGCAATTTGAACACGTGTAACCGTGAACCTGTCGATAAACAACTCCGTGTTAAAATTTCTCACAAACAATTCAATAAACGTTTTAAAACTCAGATAAAACGTTGACTCGACGTTTAAACGAACTTCTTATAAACGTTTAACGTATTATTTTCGCCAGGGGCTACTAGGGATTTAACGCTGGACAGATGCATTGAATGCGAATTTAAATGTACATTTAAAGCACATTGTACGCGCATTGGCGCTCCTTGGGTGGCTCGCCAGTGCAGCGATAGAAAACGAGCCTAAATACGCCAAGTAATATAACGGCAAGCGAAAATGCAAATGCACACACGCGTTCGGAGAATTTACGGAGTTTGGCGTCACGCTCGGTCTTCAAACTCGCGATCGGTCTTGATTCGAGTCGCCGCGTAATTCAATAGAACTCCGATCTTCAGAGGCGTAGCGAGACGTACGCTCGAGAATGACCCCGCTGTGCGAAAACGCACGAGGCATACGAGACCCCGTGGCACCTCGGAGCGCATTAGCAAACAAAAGTAACGGTTGGGAGATCTACTGCTCGCGCACCGCGACGCGGTACCGATCTTCGCGGCGAGCAGGACTGTTCGCACGATGTTTATCGGGATTCACCTGCCAGGCGTAACAATGTACGACGAGGTGCGATTAGCGAAACGCGAGTCGCTCGCCGAGTCCGCCGTGGACCGCACAGTTACCGAATTCGGGAGCTGTGAGAAGTGACTCGTCGACCGACGTCGAGTCGACATTACAGACACCGTCAAGTTGACGTCGATTCGACGTCCGTGCACTTCGACATCGGTCGATGAATCATTTCCCACGTTCGGCGGACTCGGCGAGCGACTCGCGTCCTGCTGATGACGTCGAAAACCGTCGTATCGACTCGACATCGTTTTCTCGCTGGGGTCCTTTCGGGACTGTCGCCCGAGCGCGTCCCTTCGCGGCTCTTCTTCAAGGGTAATCCCGAGAATTCTCCCGAGGAGATTGTTATCCCGATGACGAATCTCCGACTGATTGATATCGCCACGTGTGTTACGGGAGAGACACGTTTGACGCATCGAGCGACGCTCGGCTCGGCGATCTCGACGGACGATCGCCTTTGTTCCCGCCTCGAGAACAAAGCCCGCGACTTTCTCTGGGACGGCGTGCGGCTTACATTTTTTTTTTTTTCAGAGTCCTCGTTGCTGATTTTTACGGATTATTACCTTGGCGGTTACGATCCCGCGGACGGTGATGCCGATCATCGGTCCGAAACGGATCTCCACGCCGGGCTCCACAACGAGCTCGCCATCTCTCTCGACGAACAGGTCCTCCCGCAGCAGATAAGGGCTCTGCGATCTCGTCAGCAGTCTCTGACCTCGGACAATGCGGCCGCCGTGCAGCTCGCGAAGGCCGCTTTTGTTGTTGTTCCAGGTGTCGCCCGTCCAGCTGGTGTTCGTCAACGTAGGCTCCGTGTAGTAAATCGACGACAACGACTGGTCGTACCTGTCGTCCGGCCGGGCCGCGGCCAGGGCGGCCAGGATCGACAGCGAGACGCACAACCGTCGCATTCCTCGGCGCGCGTGTTTTCCACGTCGGAAACGATTATCCGCGTCGCCGGCGAAATCAACTCACTCAACTCACTGGAGGTATCCACCTGCGCCGCGCGGTCCTCCGGCTTTACCGGCAAATCTGAAACGGGAAGAAACGGCACTGTCGAGACGTAACGTTTTCAAGAGGCCTGGACGATCAGGCGCGCAATTGACGTTTTCAGCGAGCTCTCGTCTCACGGCCTCCGGGACGAGCGCGTAAACCAGTCGGGCATTACGCAAACACGCGTGCACGCGCGGCCGGAGATGCACTCGCGCCGACGAGGCCGTTTTCCCGGCGGTGGACGACGAGAATCGCCCGCTTATCGCCGACCGATCCGCGGACGCGTCATCCGCCGAGCCGATCCGATCCGCGTGTTGAGTCAGAGCGTTCCTCCGCCTCGCGCCGCGCAACATCTGATACTTTCACTGGGCACGGGCGAGCTTCGGCGGGCAATTGCAGTCCGTATCGAGAGACGCTTATCGGCTCGTCGCCGCCGCGCACCGTGACCGTCCGGATCGTCTCCCGAGAACAATCGACAACTTTAAACACGGAAAACGCTTCCCGCGGGCGATCGCGAGCGCGACGAGTTTTTCATAGAGAGAGAGAGAGAGTCTCTGAATTCCCGAATAGAAAATTAACGAACTATTTGCAGCGCTGACGTTTCATCGCGATAAGAAAAGAGATCCAAACATTCCTGAGAATATTGAAAAAAAAAACACCAATGCAGATTAACTTTAATCCCGGTTTAACTAACTTTTTGTGTTTTCCAATTTGTGAAACGAGAAGAAGATAAAAAGTAAGTTGAACCGAGATCAAAGTTAATCTGCACTGGTAGAAATGAACGTAAAAGGTGTGTTCTGTAAACGTCAATAATATCATTAGAGGAAAGTCTTTTATTGTGAGATAGACTTCTAATACGAGACGGCAGGTTTGCAACATCACAATTCAATCACAAATCTTGATTCGCAACGATTACACGATCTAACAATGGATTTTCCACAAAACAGATTTCACTCCAGGGGCAATAAATACACGACGAGACCAATAGATGATGCCTAATTTAGCAAAAACCCTGCTATCTCAGAAGCTCATCTCATAATAGGGGACTCTCTATGCGCTTCGCGCAGCTTTTCCGCGGTATATCGTATCCGCCCGTAAACGCGTGACGATGTCGTTAACATTTACGGAACGGGTCCCTGAATCAAGTTTTCGAATGCGGCGCGAATAAATTTGGAGAGTCGATCTCTCTTTAATGAACGTCCGACTCGATCTCACTTTCTTAATGTCGTCATTTTCGGAATCGAATGCTTTGTCTGCCGAGAAACTTGGCAGCTTAAAATCGAACAACGAGCGAGATCTTATCGCGTTCGGTTTATCTCCAGAGCTTAAGGTCCCGAGCAGAGTGGCTGTCTTAGACTCTTGAGACAGCCTTAGGACAATGTTTTATGTATCAAGCCTTTGTCTTGAGGTAGCGCACAATAACTGTCTCACGTCTTAAGAGTACAAGACAGCCATTCTGCACAGGCCCTAAGCTCGCGGAGTCCTCGCCTTTCGATCGCTCGCGACTCAAAAATCGCGGGCCCTCCGACTCGCATTTTTTCACGAGGGAGCGTTCGAAGGGTGACGATCCATGGGAGTTCAAACTCGAATCCCTCGACGGCGCTTCGTGACGATTCCCGATCGCATCGATCCGGCAACGTCGGCCGCACGTTTGGAATTCCCGTCGCATCCCGACCGTTCACAACCGCTCACGGTTGCGTTGCAACCGCTCGTCAACATCGGCGCCCTTCACGCACGTGCGTACGTGTGAATCGAAGCGAAGCGACGCGGAGCCGACGCAACGCCGACGCGACGCGACGCGACGCGACGCGACGCGACGCAACGCACGGCGGTGGAGAGCGCACCTTCGGCGACACTTACCGGACGCGCGGGGTACGTCGCGGGGTTCGAATTCGAGCGTTCACCCCCTCCCGCTCGTTCACGCGCGAGGGACCGCGGCGGCCGTTACTCCGCGCTCCGCTTGGCGACTCCTCTCGTTTTCGCGGTCCGGAACGCGTCCCGCGAGCGCGCGCCACCGCCTCTCTCGTCGTTCCTCTTCTTCCGTAGATCCGAGGAGGCTCGGGATCAGATCGACATCGACAACCCGGACCCGCGCTGGTCCCCGTAGATCATTATATCGATCGATCTATCGTCCGTTCGTTCAAGTGCGCGGATCCCGCTAGAGCCTCTCGGTGGCGGCGGCGGCGGCGGCGGCGGCAACGCGACGCCGTCGTCGATCGTCGGTCGCGGGACCAGGTCTCGCCCCCATCTGGAGCGTCACCACCTTCGGGAACCCCGTGGGCGCGGTTTACGTCGCTCCGCGCTCGCTCGCTCGGGGTATACGCGCACTTTCCGCCGCGGTCGCTCTCCTTGCGCAATTCTCTCACTCGCTCGCCCCGTCACCGTCGCCTTCCCTCACAGAGGCGCTACGGCTACTACCGCGGTCGCCATGGTGCACCACTCGCTCTGGTAGCACTCGCGCTCTGACGCTACGCTACACCTACTACGGCCGAGCGCGGAGAGCCGTGGGTCGCGCGCGGTCACGTGACCGCGCCCGAGCGTGTACGTCACGCAGGTTGCGAAACAGGTGAGTCCCTCCCAAGCACGGATGTACCGGGTGTCCCGGCGCCCACCGTCGATCCCTCGGTTCACTTTGGACTCCAGTCTCTGCCATTTCTTGATCATGGACGCGACTGCGGCTCGCCGACGACTTGCCTTTTAACGCTGAAACAACTCGGAGTTGACATCACGACGACATTGTTAAGACTTTATTTATCGTTGAAAATTACCTGGACCGTGGAGGGACTTTTTGAGTGACGAATAAAGTTGCGACGACGTTGTGCGATGTTGTATCGCGAGATTTATGTTCTGTCCAGGGAGGAGACCTTCGAGTGAACTGCAGAGCTTTCGAAGGAGACGAGAAGAGGCGAGAGGACTCGTGCCTGCGGCGATCTTCCGCTTTCATAGACCTTCAACTGGAATACAAGGTGTATTTACAGGATTGAAAAAATGCGGGACGCGTCGCGCTCCTACTTTTTACCAGGGAAAAGTGAAGCCGCCGACTCGTCGCCCGAGGAAGCTGCGGTTGAAAGGACATCCGGTGGTTTCCGGGGCACCCTATGCGTCGCGTCGCATCGTCGCTCGCCCCTGATGCTTGCATACCTCCAGGGGCTGTTCGCTGACAAAGATGGAACGTTTCGAATGTGGGAACTGCGCGAGGGGTCTTTTATCCCGGCCCATACCTGGAAAAGACCCCGATATTCAGCACGTACATACGATGCGACAACAATGAATGAAGCAGCACATCTCTGCCTCTACGTTTCTGTCTCGTCTCTGTCGTAAAACGATAGAGATATGTTTTGCAATTTTTCAATGAAACGCAAGCTAATTTTCATTAATGCCCGCTTCTACCAAAGATTATCTGTGGCTTGATTCGATCTGTGTCTCTTTCCAACTGTTACTTTAGAAAGAGACGAAGGACGAATTAAGCTCAGCTTAAAAGTTAAGCGACGTTGGTGAAATCGGGCGTTAATCTGCATTTCGTGAAAGTGGGCAGAAATTGAGGCGCATAAATTTTCCTACCCTAGTGGCACGGTGCATTGAACAAACATTGGCTAAACATTGGCCCATGTGTTGGGGAAACGTTTAGCCAATGCACTGTGCCACCAGGGTATGTGTCGACAATTTAGCAGAATTCCAATATTTGAATAAATTTGCGACAAATGCGTCGGCTTTGAATGGAAAAATTCTTCGGGTCGCTTTAGCAAACCTGTAAAATTCTCTGGGAAGCTGTCCCTCTCTCTCGACAATTAGAGGATTCTAAAGTCATCTGTTTTACCGACACATTCGAATGTAAATTTTTCGCTGGTGAATCTTGAATTTCTATTAGTTTTTACGCACAAATTAATACCAGGATATTTTCATACTTAAAACACTCAGGTCGGGAGTCTGATGAAAAAGATATTGGTATTTGAAGTTTTCCACTTTTCAATCGCGAGCAATTTGAAATTGGCTTCATAAAATTACAAAATTCTTACAGTACGCATAGAAACAAAGCAGGGGGTTGACGACTTTATACAAAGAACGAAGAAAAATCAGAAATATCAGCATGTGAAGCCGTCACTTAACCTAACCTAACCACAATTACTTACAAAGCGATATTTTTCATTTCTCTTCGTTCTTTATATAAAGTCGCGAACCCCCCGCTTTGTTTTTGTGCGTACTGCAATCGCGTGGAAGAATTCTGCAATTTTATAAAGCCAATTTCAAATTGTTCACGATTGAAGAATTGATAAATTCAAATACCAATATCTTTTTCACTAGACTTCTAACCTGAGTGTTTTAAGTATGAAAACGTTCGGCTACGCGGGCCGCAACTTGTCCTAGCATTACTTTGTGCGTAGAAGCTAATAAAAAGATTTACCAGCGCAAAAACTACACTCGAATGTGTCGATAAAACAAACTGCAGAGGATCCTCGTAACAAGCAACCGTAAAGTGAACGCGACGGTGAGGCCTGCTCGTGTTTTATAAGTCGTCGACATTTTACGGCAACTTATTAACTGTCGAGAGAGAAGGACAGTTTTCGGGCACTTTCATGTGCGAGGCTCGAATTCGTTTGACGGAGAAACGTATGCGAAAATTCTGCTCTTAGGGAAAACTTGCCAGTCGATTGGCTATTCGCAGTTTTTAAGCAATCGACTTCCAACCTTTCCGCGAGGACAGAACTTTCGCGTACGCTTCTCCCTTGAACGGAATTCAAGAGTCGAGCCCCTAGAGCGTTGTCTCACCCAAATAATTTATTTCAAAACGGCACGCAAGAAGTTCTCAGCGCGTCGTTTCTCCGATCCAATATGGCCGCGGCAAGCGTACAGGAGCCTTGAAAACAAAGTAGGATTCACGTCCACTCGGACATTCGATAGAGCGAGAAAGAGAGAGAAACAGAGAGAGAGAGAGAAACGACGTGCGCGAGCGAGAAAGAGCCAACTCAGCCAACAGCTCGAGTGCAGAACGTGCAAGTAACGCGAGCAGACGTCTCGCGATCGACCACGAGCCAACTTCGGAGCGGTTTGATCTCGCATGTAACCTCAAAGTTTCCGAAAAAGTCGATAGTTTTGCGAAATTCAGCAGGCATGGCCGAGAGCAAAAACGACAAGGCGAAGGTCGATCTCGGTCTGCTGGAGGAGGACGACGAGTTCGAGGAGTTTCCCGCGGAAGGTACGTGTCCCCCCCCCCGATTTGAGACTCCGTGTACGCACATTATTCACCCTTCAAACTCGCCGATTCATTCGGCGTCGCGAGATCGGGGGATTTGGCCTTTAAAGCGTGTCTGTTGACCAGATTGGACCGCGAAGGACGAGGACGGCGATGACATCAGCGTGTGGGAGGACAACTGGGACGACGACGACGTCGAGGACGATTTCAACCAACAGCTGAGGTATTGCTTTGCCACAAATCCGTTTATTCAACAAGAATTCCACGTGTAGGGGGGGGAGGAGGAAGGGGGCAACGTGGAATCTCACTAGTGAACAAAGAAACGTTCGAGCCCTTTTGATGTCCGCGCGAGGCCGCGAAGTGTCGTGCACGGGACTCACGGTGCTATAATTGATTTCAGAGCGCAGCTAGAGAAACAGAAGGCCACGAGCGATGCGATGAAGAAAAACTAAGTAGACCGTGGTGTACGTTTAATCTTATTATTTTGTATAAATAAATGTAATTAAATATCAAGCTCGTGTACCTACCTCTCGTGTATGTAACGTGCACGCGTAAAACTCGTCGCAATCTTTGGAACGTGATAGCAGGGTTAGTTTCTCTCCTTTTTTTTCTCTTTGTATAACACTGTATGCAACATGCACCGTACGTCTTGCGGGAACGCACACGCAGTTCCTTTGTACAAAACTTAGTTCGTAAATATATATATAAATGCTACGCTCGGTAGGTCCAGAAATGCGTATGGTGCCTTCCCGAAGGGTGACTCGTTTCGCGCCTCAAGTCAATCGAAAGGAGTCATTATTCTCTAATGGAAAAAATACTTGGCATATCTTATTGTAAATGTATAATCAGGTACAGTCTTCGTTTTTTTTTTCCTTTTAAATCCGCCAGGTTTTCACCGAGAACGTAAACGGGTCTGTCGTATGGCACGTGTCGATTCTCCTCGACATATGTATTTTGATATAAGTATCTTAATGACTCCCGCAGACACGTCGTCAAGAGAACAAAGGATAGTGTGCGAGTCTCACTTAAGTCGCAATCTTCTAAAGAATTCTATCTAGAGAACCGGATGTGAGTCGAAGTTAATTCGCGGCGTCGTGATGCGTCTTGCAGCAAACCAACAGCTCTGATACTAGTGCGTCCAACATTTGCATGTTCAAGTCCAAGTTGATCCTTTTGATTTCGTATGAACCCAGCAGATAGTCGAGGGCCTTGCGCAAGTCGTCCTCGCCGAATATCAGCTTCACATCGTACGACAGCCTGTCCTCCAGTATACGCAGCAACTTGTCCCTCGACTGCGTGCTGTTCTGATTCGCGACGTCCTGCGACGCGTCCCAAATTAACGAGGAGCCGCTCAGAGAGTCGAACAACCAGATAATTATTTTCTGCAAGTAATCTCGAAGTTAACAAACCGGTTTGCGAAACAAAGAAAAACACAATATTCCTGCGAGCGTAACTTCACCTGCAGGATTGGCTCCGAAACGTTCCCGAGTAGCAATTTCGTCCATCTAACGACCGCTTCTTGCTGCAACGTGTTGTTACTAGCGATGCCCGCTAGAAGCTCGCAAATCAGATCTATCGTCGTGCAGGTCAGCGTTAAATTAGAATCCAGCTCGTCCAATTCGTCTGGAAAACGTAATGTTCATTCTTTCGTTGTTACAAGATCCATGTAACTTTCTTGCTTCGCGCAATAAAAATGCAACGTTATAGCCTACCGTCGTACGAAGTATTGATAGTCTCCCACCAGCAATCGAGTAACTCCGAATCGCCACTTGCTTCCATCGAGTCGACTGCTTCGTAAGCAGTGTCTACCGTGCAGTACTCCGTCCTCTCCGCGATCAATTGCTGGAGTTCACAAGCTAGGCTTTTCTACAAAGGATGTTTCGAAATCTAAATTTTGTGCATATTATACAAGTGCGATTTCGGAAGAGGCGAATTAAATTGAAAGAAGACGCAAATTCATGGGTCAAATTTTCCACATTAGAACGTATAATAGCGAATTCGGTTGCTTGCACTAGTGCGCACTGAGTGCACACTAAGGCCTGTTTATAGTCAATTCTTATATTTAAATTTGTCTTAAATACACGTTCAAAGAGTATTTGGTCAAACAATGAACCATATAGATGCTACACAGATCATTTTACTGGCTACAAAATATTTCAAGAGACAACAATGGATCTGTTTAGTCGACCTTATCTGGCTCTTATTTAATAAATTCAATAAAAATATAATGTGCAACGTTTCGACACCTTGTTTGGGTCCTTTTCAAGCACAAATTCTTAAAATTAATTGATATCAAAATTGAGTCATTGTAATAAGTCTTTAAACAGTAAAAAATTTTTATGTAAAAAGTTGAGTCATGATTATGAAATTAACAGCACAAATTGAATGTGTCCAAAGTCTACCATGGTTGGAGAGTGACTGTTTCAAGAGACATTTAAGACGATCCTTAAATATAAGAATCGACTATAAACAAGCCTCAGTGTGCACTCGGTGCGCACTAGTGCAAGCAACCGAATTCGCTACAAGATAAAACTGGAAAATGTGAAACTTGAATTTAATACACGTTGCTGCTTGTTGAATATACTCGAATTTTGTTGATTTTTCGAGGGCATTGAAAGATACGTATTGAAATTCTCAGTTCTTGTCTAGAACGTGTATGTTACAATGTACAAGTTCCATTACCGACTTTATGTCCTCGACAAATCTCCAGGGTATGTCAGACAAGGGCATTAGGGTGGGTGGGGGCGAAGCCTCTTCTTCTTGATCCATCTCGAAACCCGGTACAACAGTTTTCAACGTGTTGAAAACACCAGTCACGGTCTTGGCCAGAAATCGATCTAAACGAGGCGCTACCGCGTCGGCCTTCTTGCCCGCGCTGCTACTAGGTCGAAGAAAATGACGCAGCTGCGGCGGACACTCGTTCGCCAGTCGCGTACACAGTGTCTTCAAGTACGTCTCCAGCTCGATCCGGCCACCTTCGGGCAACACCAATTCCGACATGACACTCGCCAACGACGGCATCTGGAATTTTGCAAGCGTAGTTATTAAATAAGGCGGGCGTCTCTAGAGTGTAGGGAGGTCCAGGGTTCAAACCCTGGCTGAGGTAATATTCTTCGCAATGATTTTCTTTAAGTAGAATTTGCCAGCCGAGCGTCGTCAAGCAATTTTCTCTACATTGGTTATTCAATTACTGGCGTTAAATAATTCTTTACGTAGTTATTAAACTTGACGTGACGGCTTTGAATCTATTTGCAAGCACTTCTCTAATTTCGTACGAATATTTTCCTCGATCGCGAGCCTTACTTCTTCCAAACTGAGATGCAACTGAACGAAATCGGCGTACTGCCTCTTGACCGTAGCGGTGGTCGTTTCAAACAGATCCATCCCACGCTGCTCGACGTCGTCAAATTGTATGCAGTAGTACAATTGCTGCGAGCCGTCCGTCGCGGTGTGAAACTCGGTCCAAGGAATCGATAAATTCGTAAATTGGCTCCCGTCGTATATTACGTAGGACTTTTCTTCGGCGTGCCTGAAATTCACAGGCACATGTATTGACGCGCCTGAGGCTAAGCGCCGTCTTTACTAACAGTGGCGTGGTTGCCGTAGATTTCTGTTGCAGCAGATTTCTCAGCCTGGCGATGGTCGTCGCGAAATCCGTCGGTTCCTCGTACACCGGTGATATCTTGTCTTCCTCCAATTCCAGATCCGCGTCAATTATGCTGTCCGTTATGCTGTCCCCCCATAGGCCTCTGTGTTCCGTGGAGAGACCTTCCAGACACAGAGTTGACCTTTCCGGAGCTGCCGTTGAAGCTGCACTCTCGTCTTCGCTCGTAGTAGCTGCAGTTGGACTAGACTTGGATACGGATTTTGGCAATTGCTGCGGAATCACGGCCGCCGTCGCGGACGTGATACCGTCGCTTAGAGCAACAGTTATAGTACCCTGAAAGAACGATTAGTATCACCGTCGTGTAATTATCACGCATACATTATTATCTAAAACTATTAGAATTTACATTGATATTCTGTTTTACTGGAGTGGCAACCTGGTTCGCTGGCGCTTCCAGTAATCTCAACAGGTTCTCGATCAACCAATCGGGGCAGCTTATCGTGTCTATCGTTATTAAGAGCCTCTTCGCTAGGATAGATAACAAAAGTTTGCACGGTAATGAGCTAGTTAATTCCCACTGTAAAAACTCTTGTGCCAGAACCGTAACTAAACGATGCAACATGTGCTCCTGCGTCGACGCGTTGCGAGAACCGGGGTGCAGGTATTTGTACGCCTCCTCCACGCTAGCTGCAGCACCCTTCTCGACTCTGCGCAACGCCCTGTGGAACGGATAACGATCAGTGGGACAATTTTACCAGACATGCGCGCGCAAAGGAATAATTGCCGACAACTGCCCGTACCTACGGTACTCCTTCAGGTGTAACAGCAGCACGTTTGCCAACTTATTAATAAGTTTTATCTTATCTATCAGACTGGCTTTCCAGACGAGCCTGGTCAAGAACTTGATCAACAAGTCCTGCGCCTCGTCAGGGAATGACTTGTCGCTACTTATATTCCTATACCAGACTTCTATACACTTCGCATTGATCTCCCGCGTCATTTCTGTTACGTCCAGCTTTTTTCGCCTCGTCAGGGGGACCTCGTTCTTACGGGTTTCATCGTTGTTGCGCTTAACGCTATCTTGTTGTGCGGAATTCGAGTTCTCTTGGTCCTCCTCGTCACCTTTGCGAGCGACCTCCGTGCTTCCATCCTCGTCTACCGAACCCAGCCAGCTCGCCAGCCTCTCGCGCATCCATTCATTCGCAAATCCCAGAGCGATCGGACTATTGGCCTTCAGCGTGAGACGCAGCAGACAACAGCTCAACCACACGGATATGACCGTGACGAATACGGCCCAGGAGATGGAAACGTAGATCGGCAGAGGCGCGAGACCAGTCCACCCTTGCACAACCAAGGAGAGTATCGCAGCTGCCACGCTAAAAACTAGCAGTATTTGGTTCAACCAACTCATTGGTATAACTTTCTCCATTTTGCGCGCCGTTAGCTGCTCTCAGTTCAGCGACAGCTTAAGCGTTACATTTTGTGCCGCGGTAACCGGGACCTGCCGAGAAAAGAGACGCGTTTCATTCACCCTCCGCTCGTCGTCTTACCATATACAGCGAAACCAGACTGCAAGATCAGGGGGACAAGGTGCACGCTTGCCCGCCGAAAACTGGGACCGAGATTACTTTTGCGTCGCTTGTCAACGCTTGCGGCAGAACAATGAGGATTTGACGGAGCGTCGGCGAGCGTGCACCTTGGACACTTCTATTGGAAACGCGCGTGTAAACGGGCGAATTCGTCGCCCGGTGAATCCCCCCCTCGAGGGAACGTACCACGTATGCATTCCTGCACAGCTGTTTTACCTCGCCATTCCCAGCGAGTTTCCTCGTAGGCGATTAACCTCGCCATCAACGCGATTCGGGGATACGTCGCGAGAGGGTCCGCGCCTGGCACCTCGTCATCTATTACGATAAATCCATATCGCGCGGCGACCCCGTTCTTTTTACGTCGATTCGCTCGCGTAACCGACCCCCGTCAACAACATCGCCCGCTTTGTTACGCGCGACGCGGCCACGGAACACGCATCTTCGCGAGACTCCCGGTCGTTATCCGTTTTCCGCGGCCGCCAGTCATGTACTATCGAAGATCATCAACCCGGGGCAAAATTGTCAACGGGGGGGGGACCTGAGAATCCCAGGTGTAATCCGTGGACTATCGACATTATCGACTGCAGATACAAGTTTGCCGAAGACCTAACGTACCTACGAGGATCCTGCAGCCACCTTTTTTACAGACGCAGTCAAATATAGTTTTTGCGCTTGTATAATTCTTTTTATTGGCTTTTATGCACAAAATAATGCCAGGATAAGTTGCGGGCCGCATAGCGCAACATTTTCATACTTAAAACACTCAGTTCAGAAGTCTAATAAAAAAGATATCGGTATTTGCAAGTTTCAATTCGTAGTTCTAACTTTTGAAATTGGCTTTATGAAATTGCAAAATTCTTCCACACGATTAAAGTACGCATGAAGACAAAACCAGGGACAGTCGACTATATAAAAAAAAAGAGAGAAATTAAAAATATTACTTTATAAAGGATATCTCTCTTTTTTTCTAATATAAAGTCGACTGTCCCTGGTTTTGTCTTCATGCGTAATTTAATCAGAACTACGAAGTGAAACTTTCAAATACCAATATCTTTTTGTGTTTTAAGTATGAAAATGTTCTGCTATGCGGTCCGCAACTTATTCTGGTATATACTTCGTGCATAAAAGCCAATAAAAAGAATTACAAGCGCAAAAACTACATTTGACCGTGTCAGTATAAAAGATGGCTGCAGGATCCTCTTAAATATTCAAACACCCACGTTTCCTAAATATAAAAATGTATATTTACGACGCAATATCATAGGGGAACGGTTGTTCGAGAGAATCAACTTTAACAGACGAATGTAATCGATATCAGGTAACGAAGCTCCGAAGATTCAAAATCTCATAAGACGGGGAACCTATTGTATGTACATTAGACTTTCAATTGTAATTGTAATATTTACAGTTTCATTTATTCCTTGCGATAAAAATCTAACTTAGGCCTCTCCGCCGTACTTTTATTATTACAAAGAGAAACATCATACGAACTTTAATATAAAATTAATACAAAAATGGATCGGTGGGACACGTTAGATATTGTTCGTCCATCTGGCGGAACTCGAAAGCGCACTGATTTCGCTCCGGCAGAAGATCGATCTCGTTGTAGAACACAGCCCGCAGGTGCACGATGCTCTTGACCTTGGCGATGGCGTTGACCTTGGCGAAGAGCGCCTGCGCCTTCGACAGGGTCTTTATTCCGCTCAAAATCACCTCCTTCCGCGCGTCGAAGGGACTCTCCGGCGCCGAGGCTATCAGGCACTTGCCGTACAGCATGAACGCCTTGCCCTGATCGTAACAACCGCCGTGACCCAAGACCGTGGGGATGGCGTCCTCCACTAAGCTCAGGGCCAACACAGGCAGGCCCATTAACAGCTGAAACAATTGGCGATGTTTTGCAGATGTGTCTCAATCAAGTTACAATTTCTATAATATAAAGACAACTCACCTGTACGTTGGCGAGGTGCATCTTGACGAGTGCCTTGTAGTACGCCAAGTGATTCTGCGCGGCCAATTCCAAGGCTGAGCAGAGGCGCATTATGCAATTGGTGGCGGTCCCGTTGTCCGGCGAGGCCGAGGCGCATAATATCTGACAGGAGAGAAGCGCGGCACGTATCACGTACGGCGGTGCTACGTCCGGATATTCCTCGACAGCGCCGATATGCTCCAGTCCTTTTGGGAAATCGCCCTTCGCCAGGCAAACCTCCGCCAACCTGGAAATTTTATTCAGATCCGAACGCGTTCTCAACTACGAGAGTTTCAGTTTATTTTCTGGCGTATTTGTAAATTCTCTGTACTTGAGTCTGGATTCCAGCTGGTCCACACTGGAGATACCTCTGGCTACCGCCTCCGCCTCGCTCCATTTCTCTTGTCGCAGCAATTGCGCGAACGTATGCAACTGCTCGCTCAACATCCAGATCTACGATCCAATAAACTGAGTTACGGAGGGAAGAAACAAGGAGTTCCTCCTTTTCAAAAATCTCGAAATTCAGAAATTCAGAAATTCCTTTCCCAAAGAGAAGACTGTGGAATTTTCGTAGCATCCATTTCATATGTAAAGGAACGCACCTTGTTGCAAGGACTGTTGGGAAACCTCTCCTTGGCGTGTGCCAGCACGACGTCGGCGAGGGCATATTCGCCGAATTCGATCAACATATTGGCGACGGTGACGATCGCCTGGCACGTGGACGGTCCGTTGAATATGTGCTGCTTCTTATCACCCGTATTGTGGAAAAGCAGCAGCTGGGCGCACAGGGAGGCCATCTCCATTTTGCCGTAGTACGCCCACAGCGCCGATTTCTCCGCGAAGGTGACGGACATCAGGTCGGACATCGAGTGCTGACAGTTCAGCATGTCTGACTTCATCAATATCTGTAATATAAATAAAGCTGCAATGTATAATTTCCTATGTCAACTCGCATGTACCAGATCAATTGCTCTTCGCTACGCACGTCGAACACTTGAGGAGGATTCTTGGCTTCCAAGGCGTAACTGTGCGCGTGCGAGATGAGGCTCAAGCCTGTCGTGTGTGTGATTCCGAGCAGACTTGCTTTGCCGACCGAGCGTTCTATCAGAGGTCCTCTAAACGGAAAGGAAACGCATATGCAAAATGAAATGAAATGAGAGAATGATTGAAAATGAAAATAATGATAAATGCCTCTAACATTCCAAAAATAATAATTAGAAATTAAAAAGGTTTAAATGAAAGAATATCCGTCACGCGTTAACATCTTCAACGGTTATCCGGATTTCTATTCACTTAATAATTTACGTTGTATACAAAAAGATTACATTTTACACTATACATTGTGTAATAAAGGACTTTTTTTCCAACCTTTTAGTAGGCTAACTGATAGTTAAATTATATGTCTATCTTTTTTAATTTGAAAGGAAAACAAAGGCATACATACGATTTAACTATTACGTCTGGTTTCACCAAACGTCGCTTAACTTTAATCTTAGTTTAATTCACGTTTGTCTCTTTCTAAAGTAACAGTTGGAAAGAGACAAAGAACGAATTAAGCTGAGCTTAAAGTTAAGCGAAAGGCGAAAGGCGAAACCGGGCCTAAGTTAACTTACCAAGAGGTTGAAACAATCAGCCCAAAAGGATGAATAGTCTTTCGCATTTTTGTATTAGCTTACTTGTTTTCTTTGCTGATCAAGTAGGACATCCAAGAATGCGCGAGCTGCAGGCACACGTTGTCTCCAACTTCCTGAGCTAATTTAATAGCTTCCTTCAAAGCGTACTGTGCTACTTCCCTTTAAGCCGCCAGAAATACTTGATTGAAACAAATGTAACGCAATACATACATCGTATAAATTACGAATTATTGAATTTCGCTCGTCGGATCGACCGACGAAGAAAGCGAGTCGAAACAAGTGGCTAAAGTTGGTTACTTGTGATTAAACTGTGCGTGTAAGACGGCCAGGTTGAGCGCGGCGTAGCGGAAGGTACGGGATCGATCTTCGGGCGTGGACCGGTTCTCCAGCGGTGCCAGTCTGTCGAAGCAGTGGTAGAGACTGTCCACCGCCCCACAGAAGTCGTTCACGCGGATGCAATTCAGGTAACTCAGGTAATGCTGAAGCAGAGGCAGCTCCGTTCGGTTACGCTGTTTCGTAGTCGCAAGGAGCAACGCTCATCTTACATTTGTATCGATTCCACGGATACCACGTACCCGTACTTACCGCGTCCGCGTTGTAAGGATTGGACTTTAAAAGGTCCTGCACGAGAACCTGCAGCTCCACCGGCGGCAGTGCTTTGTGCTCGTCGGTTTGCAAGGCGTGCGCCTGCTGCGCCACGAGCAGTTCCGCCTGTCTTCCGCCCCAAATAATTTTCGCCTTGCTGCGAGGAGCGTCAGCATTAAATGAGGATCCGGGCAGCCACTTTCGTCTGCTAGGAGCGCTAGGGAGCTGCCGACCTAAGCCGCGTCTGCTAGGCCGTACCCTGGCGAAAATGACAAGCTTTATAAAGCGTTGATAACCGTTAAATTAAGGTTTTTTAAAAGTTCATACGCTTTCAAACTTTATGAGAATGCTTACACAACGCCGCTGCATTTTGAACGCTTTCAGAACGCTTATAAAATACTGTGTATAACGTTTTAAAAGTTCTACAACGCTAAGTTCAAAAACGCTATATACAAACGTCTTCTAAACGCCGCAGCGTTGCAATTTCCGCTCTACAAATTCTCCATTGACCGTTTCTAAACTCTCAACGAACTCCTGCAAACGCTATATACAAGCACTTGTGAAACGTTTTATTTTTGCCAGGGTAAGCGATTACGGAACTGTTGAAGCTAACGCCGTTGTTCGACAAAATGCCTATGTACTGCGTGTTTAAATGTTCTAATATGGGTGGACACGAGTTTCCAAAAGACCCAGAGAGAAGGAAAAGATGGGTGATAACTGTAAAACGTGAAAAAAATTGCAACGCGCGCGTTGCCGCTGCAGCAGTCAATCCGACGTTAGGTCGGCATCTCGGTGCTGCCATATCTGTCCTTAGTTCGTCGTTGCCGGATCCTCATTGTCGAAAACGTGTAATTTACATGACACAAGTATTATTTTACGGAGGCTCACTTGTCCGGCCCCAAGTCTTCCTGCTTAGAGACCACGGAGATGTTTGTGCTGTCTAGGGTGTCGACCTTCATGATCACGTACTTATCCATATCGTTGTAGAGAGCGACCACTTGATCGAACGCCAGCTTCTCAAAGAAGATGAGCATCCTACGAACGTACAGCCCGAGAACGGAATTTCTGCTCAGTGCCGGCAGGGCCAGCGGGTGATCCTTGGACTCCATTAATCGGCGAAGATTGTCAAACAGATCTAACAGCTCGTCGATGCCCTTCTCATGTATGGCGTCCAGATTAATCTCCAGTTGATCTGCAAACCGATCCAGGGAATACTCGTACATCATATTCAGCAGGGCATCCAGCTCCATGTCCGCCGACTGAAAAAACGGCATCAGTAAATGTATGTGTCGACATGGCGTCCCCCTTTTCTCGGCACGCAGGATAATTACCTGAATTAACTTCAACGACGCTAAACAGAAGTTGCGTCTCTCCGCGATCTCTGTAAAGCATCCAAGATTAGACTCGTATAAAAGAAAAAAAGTACAGACGGGTTGACATAACAAATATCAGCTGGTAAAGGTTGCGGTCAAGCTGCCGCTACAAACGCTTCGAAGCGTTTCTCCTCTCCTTCCGTCTTTGCTGAAAGAAAGGAGAAGAATACTGCAAAGCATTTGAAGCGACAGCTTGACCGCAGCTGACCAAAAGAGCGCACCTCTCGTGGTGTCATTGCAATATTCCTTGATCAGAATGACAGTCGCCACTTTGTAAGGGGTCAGGCTCTCCCTCTGAATCTTCCTCACGTTGCCGTCGACGGTCACGAACTCCTTAGACATTCTGTTGAATATGTCGTTCACCGTGTAGAGCCGGCCGTCATTCATCGACATTCTTCGCAGGATTTACACAGGCCTCTTCGCACGTGCCACACATCCTTCCTAAAATCCGTTTGTTTACGTCTCTTCGGCGTTGTTAGCCACACATGCTCAGAAAGAGTGGATCGGCGTGGTTTCGCAAGACCCCCGCTAGATGACGCCCAGGTCCCGAGGGTTGTGTTGATGTTGTGATTAGCACACGATGACACGGGCTTTCGGCGCAAAGCGGGTAATACGCCGCGCGCATAGATAAATCCGGAAATTGAGCTATTTTAACTGCGTGCACTATTTCAGCTGCGGTCTGTGTGTCCTCGAGACATTTCCCCGAGCGGATATTGCTGAGCTGGGAAAAACATTAAGCACTGATCCAGCCCGTGTAAGGTTATGTCGATTCTTATTAATGCAGATTAACTTCAATCTTTCAACTTAGCTTTTATGTTTTTCCAATTTCTGAAACTAGAGAAAGTCAGTTAAACCGAAATCAAAGTTATCCGCATTGGTCGAGATGACAAATTTAAGAGTTAACGTTATTTAGTTTTACGCCCTATTTCGCTGTAAGGTTTATATATATCTTACACTTTTTATCTTTTTCTAGTTTCAGAAAATGGGAAAACGTGAAAGTAAGTTGAACCGGGACTCAAGTTAAACGACGTTGGTAAAAACGGGCGATAAGCGGTTTAATATTGAACAGACTGAGCTCGCTCATCACAGTAGATGCTACAACTTGCATCGCGCACCCTAATATCACGACCGTACCTCGCGAGACGGAGGTACAGCAGGATGGTGAGATATCTGGGACAGTCGGAGGCTATTAACCTCGACAAGGACCTGTTCGAGAAGTGCAGGTTCAGCGTGGACCAGCTGATGGAGCTGGCCGGGCAGAGCTGCGCCGTCGCGATCGCGGAGTGCTTTCCGCCGGCCGCCGGCGCGCCGAACAGGGTGCTGGTGTGCTGCGGGCCCGGCAACAACGGCGGCGACGGCCTGGTCTGCGCGCGTCATCTCAAGCACTACGGATACTCGCCGGAGATCTATTATCCGAAGCGGCCGAGCAACGAGCTGTACGAGCGGCTGCTGCATCAATGCGTGGAGAACGATATTCCGGTGCTGGAGAACCGGCGTGTAGAAGAGGCGGCCGATTCCGCGGCTCTGCGAGAATACGCGCTCGTCGTCGACGCCCTTATGGGATTCAGCTTCAGGCCACCGATGCGCGAGCCGTTCGTCCGCATCGTCGATCTGTTGAGGGCCACGAGCGTTCCCGTCTGCAGCGTCGACATACCGTCGGGATGGGACGTCGAGCGCGGCCCGCCCGAGGACGGCGGCATACAGCCGCGGCTGTTGGTGTCCCTCACGGCGCCGAAGCTGGGCGTGACCCGGTTCAAAGGGACCCACTACCTGGGCGGGCGATTCGTGCCCGAGAAGCTGGCGTCGCGGTACAATCTCGGTTTACCCGACTTCGCCGGCACGTCGCTGATCGTCCGGCTGCACTGACGAGCGCTCGCGAGCCAGAGGAAAGTTCGATCGCGCGCGGTTTATCTCTCGTCTCGAGCGCCCGTTTGCGAATGTAATTGATTATCGTTAAATTGTACACTAGGAATCACTGATGCCTTCCCATACGAATTTAGGCGCTGATCGAACACACACACTAGGAGTCACCGATGCCTAACCACTTGAATTTCTGTACATGTCGACACATTTATACATTTTACATATGCATATGTGGAAAATGTATATGTGTTTTACCAGTGCCTGAATTCATATGGGAGGGCATCAGTGATTCCTAGTGTACATTTTCCATGTATGTATATGCGGAATGTATAAATGTGTTGATATGTGCACAAATTCATGTGGGAAGGCGTCGGTGATTCCTAGTGTACTTCGTTATTGTGGACAAGTATAATGTATATACAGTGTAAATTTACATTTATTCAATTGTTCTCGAATGAAATTAATAAAATGTTTTCTATCCTTTCGGAATAATCTGGAGTAACATTTATTTATAACAAATGCGAGCTTTTGTAAACGATCATTCTAGGTTTGCGTCTCGACGTTTAATAAAAACGTTTGCTAATTGATGAAACAAAGTAGCGACCTCCTCAGTTGGACATTCTTTTTTTTTCTGGGGCGTTTAAAGAGTGCCGTCAACCTCAAACGAGCAAGCTCTCGGTTATTTTAATAATTTACGAAAAATTCTCGGAGATTCTTTAGACAACTTTATGTCCATTTCTATCATTGCAGATTAACGTTAATCTTGGTTTAACTTTCTTTTCATTATTTTCTAGTTCTAAGACCTGGTTTCACAAAACGCCATTTAACTTCAATCTTAGTTTAATTCGTGTTTGTCTCTTTCTAAAGTAGCAGTTGAAAAGGGACAAGGAACGACTTAGCTTAACTTTAATCTTAATTTAATTCGCGTTTGTCTCTTTCTAAAGTAACAGCTGGAAGGAAACGAAGAACGAATTAAGCTAATTTAAGCTTAAAGTTAAACAACGTTGGTGAAACCGGACCCCTGAGTTGGAAAAAGACGGAAAGTAACTTAAACCGAGATAAAAGTTAAACTATCATTGGTAGAAGGGGACATTAGAAATTCAAATCTTGGTGCTCCGAAGTTAGAAATCTGCCTTACCGACCGCGGCAGGTGGTGACGTCACGCCCGGAGCTCACTTCACTGTCTTCACGCGAAAAACATGTCGGAGGAAGGCTAAGCGGCCTGGCATTGCCGAGAGTTTCTGTCTTCTATGCGCGAGGGAACGATATTGAGGCCACGTTTCATACATTTATGAGATACATGCCTTGACGTGCGTAAAAAGGCTGGCGTTCTTTTCATGAGACAGAGGGACCACGCAGGCGAAGGGCGCAGAGTAAATCTGCGGCACAGTTGACACGTTCGATCGTCTGGTAGTTTTACATTGCAAGTTGCGCTCGCACCGTTTTTTCGAGGAATCTCACGAGTGTCTCGCTCTGAAAAATGGTACGTAGGGCGATTATCTGAGTTTCGCGCGATCGCCAACGATTTTTCATGGAGCGTTGTGTGTGTGTTTCTTTTCAGGCACAGGAGGTCGAGGAAACTATGAAGCGGATTCAGTCTCACAAGGGAGTAGTCGGGACGATAGTGGTGAACGCGGAAGGTATTGCACGAGAGTCGCTACGCGCGATCGCGAGGGAATTCTCTGGTTGAGTCTTGCTTTCCGTTCCAGGCATTCCTATAAAATCGACGTTAGACAACACAACGACGGTTCAGTACGCGGGTCTGATAAGCCAGTTGTCGGACAAAGCTCGCTCCGTCGTGCGCGACCTGGACCCGACCAATGATTTAACGTTCCTGCGCATCCGCAGCAAAAAGCACGAGATCATGGTCGCGCCGGACAAGGAATTTATATTGATAGTAGTGCAAAATCCAGTTGACTGATGTCCAACGGAAGTGTATTGCAAAATTAAGATTTATCTCCTTGGTGAAGATTATTAATTTATTCTGTTCGTGCTGCATTTGACTTTAATGTCCACTCGATTAAGAAGTTGAAGAATAAAGCTTGAATATTATGTGTTGCAATATTTAGTTTCCGAGATGATTTTACGAGCAGCAAGCTTCAAAAGTTTTCACGGCACTTTCTTTTCGGCAATGTTTTAGAGTACTTTTACAAATCAATTTGGTAATATATTCTGAATAAACACTACTTATTCCTGTATCTTTGTATTATTGAACACAACTGTACATTCTATATATTCTGTCTTGCATACAATATCTATTTCATTATGTTCTGTAGTGCAGTGCGTGTTGTAGAATACTGATTGTATTTATAGTATTTTTTTTATTTTATGATTTAATGTTACAACTGAAATCATATTTGTTATTACTAGTGTGCTTTATGTGAAAATATATTTTAAACTCAATATAGAAATGTAATCATTTAAAAAGACAAAGGAATAGAAAGTACGAAAAGATCAACAAATTGCGAAAGAAAGAAAAGAGAAAACGCAAGTAAATTGACAATTAACCCAGAAAACACGCACGTCTAAAAGACATCTTTAGGACATGCATGTTCTCTGGGTAACTCATTTGCAACAATGATCGATAAGAAATATATGTATATATTTTTCGTTCAATTTTTTATCACATATTTGTGATAAAAATTGGTAAATAATGTATCAGGTCACAAGGTACTTTATTGTACTTGTTTCAATATATTAAAAAATGTGTACCAAATTTTGTTCAATGTACAAAGCAATATCAAGTTATCAGGATAACAAAAATTTATTGAGGGAAGATATAAATTGCGATATTTTTTAATATAAACATAAGAGACAGACCGCTGTTTTGTTATTTCAAAGTTAATGTAACGAGATCCTTGTTAATATAATCGCCGTGTTTGCAAATGAAAACATATCTTTATGGGTACATTGAAGTAATTAGAAAAATATTTGCTTTTCATTTATCTTAAATATATAGAAAATTTGTTCTTTTGTCATGAAAACATGCATACAGTCTTTTATATTATCACATGACTTACAGCTATGTACATTAAAAGTTTGCATATAGCACTTTATATTCATACATACGAATATAAATGTGAATATAGAATAGAAACTTTATTCTGTCCTTCTACGGGGTACAGAAAGGAATATATATATACATATATATTATATATATATCCCTGAGATATTTCTTAGTTTAAATAAAAACAAAAGGTTCTTATCAAAGTTTCATTATAAAAAGTAATATCTAACTGGCTTCTATCGACTGCAACACAGTCATGTACCTACAATTCTGCGCAGTCTATGAGATATTTTGAAAATACGTTACAGATGTAATTAAAATATGGCTTTACTTATATTAGAAATGGAACTAATAAGAAAAAACTTTATAGAGATATGGAACATACTTGTAAGTGTAATATATAAATCATTTCATTTTGCAAAGTTTTATGCTGTAAAGTCCTTAGAAAACTTGAGCTATGTATGTATCTTTGAATACATACTCAATATATAAAATACAAAATTTTAATATTGAGATTTTCTTCGATTTCTCTTAAGATAATGTATTAGAAAATACCTTATAAACTAGAATGTAGATTGTATATTGAGTATTTAATCTTCTTTAAATAAGAAATAAATGTCCACAATCAAATGGTTCGAAGTGTACTTGAAGCACGTTGCTTCTTTGAGGGGTGGAATGCGGTATAATAAAGTATCATTGCCGTAATTCCTAGGAAAAAGGAGACAATACAAATGATAAAGAATACGTTAAAGTACCAGGCCTCCGTAACTCGAGGCGGACTGGTATATCGCCACAATAGATTTGAGGCGGTATTTTCCGCCAAGCAGAGCAGGTAGAAACACACGTGTTTCCAAAATGTGTTGCTATCTACAGGATTTAGATATATAAAAATATGAACTATGCCAATAACTGCGGCAAATAATATCGAATAAATGCGTTCCTTAAACGTTGGCAGCATGTGCGGCGGGCGACTGTAAGCCCGGCAGAACTCTAATATTCCATGGGACTCGATCAAAATCCATATTGTCATGATTAGCCAATGCACTAGGCAACAGATTGCGGTATATAGAGGCCAGATGCTCGCAACAACGCCGAGAGATAAGATTCTTGCCACTGTAATCATGATAATCGGTGATAATGAATTTTTTTTCAAAATACCTGTCTTATTGTCGATTAGAGTACTATCTCGTGTTGATCGTCTAATATGTACCTGTGATGCAAAAGTGCCACAGGAATTGCAACACAGTTCCCGCGACACCAATGTTCGACTTATTTTGTTGAGCTAATCGAATGCTACGATGGTAACTGGCCATTGCCCAACCCATACTTATAAGCGAACTGACAATACTAGCTACTTGATGTACAACTGAAAAAAACATTATAAAAACCATTATTGAAGAATTGTTCAACGGCGCCGATCACAATAACAGATAGTCTAATATTCTATGAGACAAGATTCTGTGTAGTTGCAGAAAAGACTAGAATCTAAGTAACAGACTAGAAGATAACTGAAATTTCTCTACGTATCAAACATCGTCAATTGTGCAACAAGACTAAGTCTCGCCTTGCAAGATGTAAGATCAGAGGTGAAGTACATTCCGAATAATATAGGTACATTCAAAATTAATCTCATTGTGGTAGTGCTTTAGCATCAGAGTCAGCTGCAGGATTTGCTGCGGCGCAGCCTCCAGGAAGCACTCAAATACCCGCAGCAGGGCGACATCCTGATCCTCCTTTAGCATCCTCAGGTAATACCTCCTCTCGCCGACGCGGTCCGCGGTTCTCTCGCACTTGCGCGCTTTCAGCGCGCACTTCAGGGTCTCCCAGTAGTGTATAACCGGCGCCAGTTGCAGGACAACGGCGACCGTGGAGAACAGTCCGTTCTTGATCAACAAACGCGTCGTTTTGTAGTCACCCAACGTGTCCGTGCCAGAGCTCACCTGTGCCGAGGCAACATATGTTAGGCCCGTATTCTACAGCGAGTTGTCAGGACTGTGTGATCCCTCTTCTTTCTGGGCGCAAGGACCGACACACAGCCCGAACTTGTTTACCCAAAATCCAACAGATTGTAGAGACATCACGGTCGCCACCTCACCTCTTTATCCTGATGCTGCATTCTCCTGCTGATGACGACGTTGATCAGGGAGGGAAGGAGGATGAGGCACATTGTCCAAGCGAAGTACGTCACCTTCCCGCTCAGGTAGTACCGGACGGCGATGTTATAATCGAAGCACATGTCCACCACGTGCATGACGATGGAGCAGACCAGGAAGAAGATGTCCAGCCTGGAGATGCACGGGCCGTCCGTCGGCAGGTCCGCGACGTCGACGACGTCGGCGTCGAGGTGGATGCTCGGGAATACGCTGGCGAGATGGCACGAGCGCCGTTTGCGGCCTCTCTCCTCCATTGCTGCCTCGCTGCCGACCCACGCGTCGCGTCGTCCCGCGATGTCTATCTACCGCGGTCGGTCTGTCACCCGGGAACAAAAGACGCACGCCGTCCGCGTCCTTCGCGCCGCGCGAGACGCTCCGCGTTCGTCCGCCACACGCACAATCGACGCGCGCTCGGGAGGGTCGACTCTCGAGCGATCGCGCGCTCGAGAATCGACCGATCGCTCGCGATCGACGGGTGGGAGGTGGGAGACTTGAGTGACGTCGACGTCGTCGTCGTCGTCGTCGCGGTCGTGCACGCGTAATCTATGTACATGTATAGTCGCCTATAGCACAGCGGAGGTTGTCGTCGTGCGAATCGCGCAAAACTGCGCGAGAGGCGTGATGCGCAAAAAGTGTGATCGATGTGATGTTTTGCGAGGGTTATAACGAGGTGGGTGGCGCGGTGATTCTCTCTCTTTTTCTTCCTCTCTCTCTCTGCTGCCCCCGCGATTGACCCCCGTCGCGTGTCCCGGATCCTGCAATTTCGGGCCGACACGATCCAGCGACGCGGGTGGGCGGGCGGTTTCCTCGTCTGGAATTCCCCTCCCCCCCCCCCCGTCTCGCGCGCGATGTCGCGACGACTAGATCGATGATCGATGCGACGATCCCGTCGCGCCTCGCGTCGCATCGATCCCACGTACCCGTGGATCTCGGTGAAACAACGTGGTCACGCGAAACAGGATCTCCGCGAGATCCGCGATCTCCTCTGGCGCGTCCCCCGTGCCTGATTATCGTGTGCCTTCGGAGCGTCCTGTGCGCGCGTCTCGCACCTCTACGTAGTTCCGCGTCGTCTGCGGTCCCGCGCGTTCCCGTCCGCGTCCGATAAACGTCACGGTTGCTGAAAGGAGCGAAGCGTATCCCACGAGGGGAAAACAGCTATGTCCAGAAGTAACACGCGCATTGCAAAACATCCCCGTGGCTTTTTACTTGCTAATTGATTGTTGGTTGCGAAAACTTTGAGGGCTAATTAAAAATTTATACCTCGCGAGCAGACCTCGCACAATTTCCGTTTGTTCTATCAAGATGTGAACCGTTAATTGACGAAACGAGACAGCCTGGCTTGAAGTGCCGTTTGCAGCGTGACACGTTGCGGGGGAAGTCGCGGGGTCTTTTTTAAACCGCTGGGATACTCGATCGATCAGAAATCAATTGACCGCAGGTCTCTCTCTCTCACGTAATTAATTTTTTTGTTTACTACCGTAGAATGCCGATACAGGCACCGCAGTGGACTGAGTTTCTGTCATGCCCAATTTGCTGCCATGACTTTGACGTGGCTGTGCGGGGTCCCATATCGCTCGGCTGCGGCCACACCATATGTCGCGCTTGCCTGGCCAATCTACACCGCAAGCAGTGCCCCTTTGATCAGGTAACAATAGGTATCTGAATGCGATAATATATCGCGCAAATACGTATCGCTAATAATATGCGTGCGAAAAGAAACGTGCGTGTGTATTTCTGTACGGGTGTGCAAAGCGCATGCAAGCGCGCTGCTTGCGTAATTCTATAGCTCATTTACTTTCTCCCTCTTTCTCGCAGAGCGTCATCAACACCGACATCGAGAAACTACCCGTGAATGAGGCGCTGCTGCAACTGGTGAGCAATCCAGTCTCCTTGTCAGCGGCTGCGTCCAATCAACAACAGAATTACCAGAAGCTCCTGCCGGTCGAGCAACATGCCAACTATCTGAGGGCCAAGAGTTGCATCGAGGAGCTCGCCCTTTATCTCAAACCATGTCAAATTACTAATACCGCAGGTATTCGATTAGAGCGTCGAAAGATGGCAAAGATTGGACTAAAGTCCGTCACGTAAGAAATAAACGTGCAAACAACTAAGTAACGACGGCATTGTACTATATCGAATGTAATATTGCAGTAGTTTACCAAGGTTGTTGCACTCTTTACTATGTACCAATGAAATTTCATAAATACGATATCTGACTTGTAGGTATCGGCAGCGGAGGCGGAGGCGGAGGACTGGTATCGCGGCCCATGCAACGCAAACTGGTGACACTGCTGGGCTGTCAACTAGTAGAACCAGAAGGCAGGGCACGCGCGCTGCGTGCCGCTCGTAGTCTCGGCGAGCGCACCGTCACTGAGCTCATACTGCAGCATCAGAACCCTCAGCAACTCAGCGCCAATCTTTGGGCGGCCGTGCGCGCCCGTGGCTGTCAATTCCTTGGACCAGGTAAGGTTTTACTTATCATCGCAAAGTGAATCCTACAATTTGAATAGGCCATGCAGTGGACGATAAACAGAGCAATGGGAGGAGGAAAAGAATTTCGTAGTACAGAATTGTTTCCCTCACAGCTGCGATGATGCATCTGTGAATTGCATTCGTTTTAAATGCGATTGTTCTACATGTGTACACATTTTTTATATATACACATATGTTTTGCATATAGAAAGTCAATATGGTCCCAAAGGGATCGGTAATTTATGAGACTTCTCTTGGAACGTTTATTTCTATAATTGTTTTGTAATCTTTTTGTTACTGTTTTTAGGGATGCAAGAGGAAGTTCTCAAGCTTGTGCTATTGGCTTTGGAGGATGGCTCCGCTCTGTCGCGTAAAGTGTTGGTGATGTTCGTAGTGCAGCGTCTGGAACAACAATTTCCTCAAGCTAGTAAGACGAGCATTGGACACGTGGTGCAACTTTTATACCGGGCGAGCTGTTTCAAGGTAAATACACAGTGGTTTTTATAAAAGTATTCAAACGGTTTCGAGTACTGTAAAGGAACCTTTTTTGTTGTACAATTATTACTATCGTTTCTTGTTGCGTTACATCAGGTGTCGAAGCGTGAGGGTGACTCGTCGCTGATGCAATTGAAGGAGGAGTTTCGTACTTACGAGGCTCTAAGACGGGAGCATGACGCACAGATTGTGCAGATAGCCACGGAGGCGGGCTTGCGCATCGCGCCTGATCAATGGTCATCGCTGCTTTATGGCGATTCCACTCGCAAGTCTCATATGCAGAGTATCATTGATAAATTGCAGACACCGCAGTCGTTCGCTCAGAGTGTCCAGGAGCTTGTGATAGCGTTGCAACGTACCCCCGATCCTGGACAACTGAGCGGTCTCAGGCCTCAATTGGAGCTGTTAGCTGCCATTGATCCCAGTCCAGGTATATAAGTGTGCTGTTCTGTATAAACGTGTATGTAAAAGTTGTTTTAATTCTTAAAACTTATTGGAGCTCTCTGAGTCTTTAGAATCTTGAATGTATTTTTGTCAATAATTATATTTTACTTCACGCTTTTACAATGTTTATTTATTTCAGAGTCAGAACCGCCGAGCTTAGCCGAGTGTCGGGCGGCTCTGGAAGCCGTAAGAATAGTGGTGGCTACGTTGGTGGACTTTGTCCGACAACATGGAAGCGGTGGCACGTGCGGCAGCAATCGGAAATCGGCGACGCAGGATAGCGGTAGTGGCGGACCCGGCGGCGGCTCGTGTCCGGGTTCGGCGACCGGTAAATACAAAGTCAGCATGTGCAGGGACCTAGCTCTGCGTGGCACTTGCCCACGATCCAACAATTGTACCTTTGCTCACAGCGACAGCGAGCTCGACAAGTGAGTTTATTTTACAGTTATTTTATTTCATATAGTTATCCGTTTGTTACAAGAAATTATTAGGGATACCGAATGTTAAAAGAAATCAAGAATTGACATCAGAACAATATATTATAAAAAGGTAGCAATTTTTATAGTCAGTTGTATTGTTATATTTGGGAAATATCGATAATGATTTTAAGTGATTGATTTTTTCAAAATTATCAAACTATTCAATTATTTCGTTGCTACAATAGTTTGCAGATTATACATATAACATTTTGTTTTTTCAAATAAAAGTTTTGTTGATTCATTTTTTGCATTATTTTTTGCATAGGTACAGATCGAAAAATCGTAAATTAAGTGTCAGAGCAAATTCAAATCAGACGGAATCGAAGGGTGAGAAGAATAACAAGATTTTCAACAAGCAAAACGGCGATTTAACGACTTATTCCGCCAAAGCACATGACAGAGATAGTGAGTATAGTGACTATTTATATGATAAATGATAGAATAATATCATATATTAAAAGAATAATCTATATATTGCTGGCTATAAAGTCTTCTTTCAATAACGTTGACCTGAGAATTCGTTTATATTTTTAATAATAAAAGAAGAAATTGTAAATATCCAAGTGAAGCACTCTACTCAAATGTACCTAAATAGAACAATCGTCTCCTTCATTTAATCGTGTTATCTTAATTGCCACAGCGGTGGTGCAACATTCAACACCCGTCCCGGCCAACTTGGAAAACAACTTGATTGACTCATTGACATCGACCTACATGCTGCCGCTCACACCCCAGCAGAACTTACCACACCTCAATCTGTGCTCTGTAAAGGGAGGTACTATGATGGACAGTGGAGGGCCTGGTGTGCATTGTTCCGGACATTACATAATGCCATCGGGACCCATTCCCACTGTTGATTACGGACCTTCGTTGACGACTGCAACAAACCTCGGAATGTGGGATACCCCACAGATCGTACCGGCAAATCAAGTAATGACAAATGACAAAAAAGTTAGAAAGTTGCTGGTTTTTTTTATAATCCATACTAATGCCAAGGTTTAAAATTTGATAAGATAAATTAATTCATACAATAAATACAGATTTATTAGAGCAATTAAGAAACATTCTCACTCGTTTCGTGGATTCGAAAATTAGGGTTACAAGGCGCAATGATAAATTTCTAAGTTGGAACCAGAGAAATCGAGGACCGAGTTTATCACCAATAGGCTATATTAATTTCAATTGATAATTATGACTATTATATAATTTTAATGTACCTGGCAATTGATTGTAATGATAGTTTTAATATAATCTTAATAATAACAACAATAACTTTGCAACAGCGCACGGCGGTAGCAAAAACTATGTTGGCGATGTTGTTGCAACGCAGGATGGAGATCCTGAATCAGCTGGAATTGATCGTCGGCAAGCAGCAGCAGCAGCAACAACTAATATCGCCACAAATGAAAACGGTAAAAGTTATATTCTATTATTATATAATTTTTTTACATTGAGATGCTTTGCATAAATTAAAATTGTATATTATATGTAATCATTTTTATACGAAGGTTTGGTATATATAAAACAAAATGATGTAAATAAAATTATATATGTATATATTTTTTTCTCATTTTGTTTTGTGAATCTTTGTCATATTTTACCGTTTATTATATTATTTATTTCGTGCATTCTACACACACATTTTATATATTTTTCCTTAGAATTACGATCTTCAACAGGAGGGTGATTTATTGACTACACCCAACAATTACTCGATATGGACTGCTGCAAATAGCTTTCGCTGTTCATCCGGTACGGATCCATCACCGCCACCCCCATCGGCTTCGCATCTTCTCGACGACGACGGCCCCTTTATGTCCCCATTAGACATATCTCCCGCGACCTCGTTGCCGCCCGTTAGCAAGCAGGGACCTATCTCGAGGCTATCTAAAACGCTGATAAGGTGATAAAAAATAATATAATGTAGATATTCTATTGATCCAATAATAGCATGTATATCTATAGTCTTACTAACTTTTTATAATTATAATTTTATTCTATAATGTAATAATAATGAAATCGTACTAGAACTCCCTACAACGGAGCCCTGCAACATCTTTACAACGAGAGTATTGAACCTACTCCTATCCCCGCGCTGTCTACTGCATTCAGAACACCGAACTCTGTAACCTCCTGGTATTACGGAAATCAACGTGAGTGTGTGCTAGATATTATTTCTATCGATAAGTATACGCCAATAAAAATAAATCATTGCATATACATATACGATTCACTACATTATATTTTAGAAGTATAACTTATTCGCGAATAATTTCTTCTGTACAAGAATCTTCTGTACAAGATCCAAGTGGATTTTGTATGTGATTCTCTCTCTTCAAATTTGTACCTTTTATTAAAATTTTTTTCTAGATAAAATATGTATATGTATATTGATAGAGTTAATAAATTGATATTGTTGCAGCATACGCAGCGGTCGGCGTGAATGGGATACAATCGGTGACGCCAACGAGCCCTGGTAGTGGTGACGGTGACAGTGGTTTCACCGGCGATAATTACGTCACTCTCGGTCGCAGTATTATTGCGCCAGAATCACTATCACAATTCTCGAGATCGGAGTGTATGTCAAAGGAGTGAGTAATAATATATACTTCTCCTTTTTATTAAAAATTCTTATCTTTATCGATGATTAAAAAAAAAGTAATAAAGGAATAATGTGTTTGTACTATACATATTTCATATTACACATTTTAGTTTGATTTTGGAGTCGCAGAAGGTGAAGCAACAACTCAGACATCTGGAGAAGAAGATCAATGACTTAAAGGTAACGTGTCACGTTTTGAGTTCTGAGAAAAGAGCCAAACAGCTTTCGATTCACATCCTGCATACGCATGTGCAGTTGGCTACCCAAGGAGCTACCACCTTCGTCACAGCGGGCGAGCGATTGACGCAGGAATTGCGAATGATCGAAGCGGGTATCAGAGAAAGGGAGAGAGATGTACGAAATTGGAGTAATCCATATGGTGGTGGTACTGGTACTACCACAATTCCTTGGATTCAGCAATCTCCTAACGATTGGCTATCAAATCAAGAGTATGGTACGGATTTTAAAACTGAAGAGGTAGGCCATTCTACGCCTTTTTATTTTGTAATTTAATTAACTTCCACAAGTTTACAAGTTATATTTCCGTATGACAAAAGCCCCCCAAAAAGTTATATTTTTATTGAGAAGTTTAGATACTGTTAATTTTATACATTTTTATCTTTTGTACTCTTTATATTTTGTACGAACAAATATAATTATATAAATATTTCAATATAATAAAGGTTAAAATTTTGTGTGATTTGGAAGCAAGGCTGATCGATTTATCAATTAATTGATTAACCGATGTGTGCACAGGAAGACACGTACGAGGCTGGACTAGCGAATGATATGCGCGAGCTAGAACTGCGATGGGAATTTGAGCTGCGCGAGCAAGAGAAACATTGGTCCAGTGGAGGTGAAAAGGACACCGTCACCACCACTATCTCCAAGAATAAATAATGGGACGCCCATCTTCTTCCCTTTCCTTTTTTTCCCCTTTAGCTCTTTTACATGTCAAAATCAACCTCCGATTCTATATCTCCTCTAATTGATATTGATCGAGGGTAAGTATAGAACTCCTTCAATCCGTGAAGGCCGGGGAATATACATAGTACACGCAGGCGTGCGGACCTAAATCTTGAGTATTTTCACATTGATTAGAATACCATCCAATGAAGAAAAAAAAATGTAGAAAGTGTACAATTTAAATTTTGAACAATCGTTAACCGCGTTGAGTGCATCAGTTCTCGATTGTTGAAATTAAGCGACAATTCGGCCATGGTATTCGGGTAGATAGTTACTTGAGCTTGAGAAAAAACGTCAGACTTGACGTAATTCATTCTAATCCTTTGCGTAAATCGAATTAAGAGAACAATTGCTAATTTCCAAATTAACTAATTTTCTTAATTGATCTCTTAAATTGACCTAATGCCTGTGTCCGACTTGAGGAAGAGGCGGATAGATGAAGTAGTGAAATTTACGAGAGAGAGATATATATTTATTTTTACGTGATTTGTTAAACTTTAGCTTAACACGCGGTCAATGTTTTATAAACAATGACTCTGCGGAATATATGTGAGAGCACGAGGAGGAATATATTAACATATTTAATTATATGCAGATTTCGTATACTCTCTATTGATGATACGATATCATATATACATATAATGAATAATACATTCGAAAAGAATGCTGATTGCGCTTGACCTGATCGATAAGGTTACACTCTGCGATGATAATAAGAGCAACACATTATTACATTATATGCTTATACATATATTGTAGATACATGTGCTAAAAAAGAAATTGCGTTCCTTTTGAAGGACGCTATATTTATAGAATTTCTATATTCCGAAGAGGGAAAGGAGAACAAAACCACTGCTTCGGCTCGACGACGATACCCTTTATAATATGTCTTCTTCAAAAAATTTGCTTTCGGAAAAGAAGCCTCGTGTTTAATCTGAAAATTGAATTAATAAAATTTGGTGTCTTATAAGTTATATAAATATTAATATTAGTACATTCTTATGAAATTAATCTAGATTAAATTTCCGTGTCTGAAGCATGGAATATCTATCATGGAACGTATACATCCTTACGTTAATTATTAATATCAGTTTTACGAATTAGATAAATTTCATAATAAAAATTAATTCTACCTGAGTTTGCTTGACAATTTTTTAGGGTCGTCTCGAGAGAAAGGTGGACTAGTTATCCTTTTTAGGAAATCGTTGCAATAGCAATTTGAAATCGTCTCTTTTTTTTCTATTTTTACGAAATAACAAAGAGCGATGAAAACAATTCCAGTTTTAGTGGAAGCAAGAGTTTTTTTTTATATATATAGAGGGGTCTTGTCGATTCCATTTTATAAATCCTCAGGAGGACTTACATGCATACAGACGTACATTACACACACACACACATACACAAAATATACTCAAACGGAAATTGATTTTTTTTCTCGAGAGCTATGGATTTGAATTGAATTTGAATCTTTTTTTATTTTTAACGGCGACAAATATGTATATGATTACATATGTCATTAAATTAATGCGTTTCCTTTTTTTAGTAATGTATAATCGACAAGTCAAAGTAACAGAGATAGATTATGTTGGTTTTAATTGAATGTATTATTATCTAAATTTTAATTTTTAAAAGAAAAAGATTACTTAACTAATGTATTAATTTTGTCTCAAGTTTTGTGCAACTGTGAAATTTGTCTTTTGCTTGTTTTATATTCAAGAACTTTTTGCAGATTGTTTAAAAAAAATTTTACAACAGTTATTGAAAACTAGAAATCTAACACGTTGATCTTCTGTTTTGCAATTTTGTATAATTACTATTAAATTTACATAATACTTTTTTATTTTTTGCAAAAATTAAAATAGAAATGGATTATTAGAAATAGAACAAAAAAGTCAACGCATTAATTCTTTTTCAAATTTAAGTTGTTTTACGTTTTTTCAAGAAGAGAGAGCGTTTTCGTTAGAGCAATTAACACATGTTATATAGCGTTATATATTTATGGCAATTATTTTGGAAAGATCGTTTTAAAAGAAATGCTACGATAAAGAAAAGAAATCATATTTGCAATTTAGTCGATGCTATTTTGTTATTAATTAAATTTTTATTACTTGACCTTACGATTTATTATTGTTAATTTTTATCAAGATTTAAATCATTAGGATTACGTATGATTTCGAAATAATATAACCATGCGAAATTAATTGATTATGGCAAAAGTATCGATTGGCAGCGATTCTTCTGTAGCAAGCCTAGACAAAAATATTTAGTGCAATTCCATTCGTTCTTGTTCGTTATTGTATGTAATAATAATTGCGATAAAATGTTTATTATATGAGTTGTATTATAGATTTTTTGTACGCGCGTGTGTGTCTGTCTATATGCGCTTTTCTCAACGATTTTTTGTGCAGTATATAACAATTATAATACATGACTCGCAGGTGAGCGATTATTTAAAAAAAAACTATTCAAGATGGTTTTTAATAAGTAAAATTATTCTCTTAAATTATAATTTTTAAATTATTTTTTTCAGTGAAGAAGTAAATATAGAAATATAAGATAAGTACGCGAAATATATATTGTATTTATATATTTTTTCAATAGTTTCGACGACTAATATTTTGTTGTTTAAAAGAGATAATTTTACATAATTCTTATTAAGGAAAATACTTAAGTTTCCTTAGTCAATTGAAGTCTCTTACATGCAAAATTATTTTTCTATACACGTACACGCGCGCACATATATGTATAAAAAATTATTCTTATATAGTGTGTCACTTCAGTGAGGAGCATCCGATATATAGTCACACGCCGTCGATTTCTTTCTCTTTTTTTATTATTAAATATAAACTCTCGTTATATAGGAAACGTTGATAAAAAAAATAGAGAAAGAGCAAATCGGGTTTTGTGATTAATTAGAATTTGGAATTTCTTGACGAATATTCGTGATAACGATTGTTAATTTTGCCGCGACACAGATTCTCGTACCATTGGCGCGTGACAATGATTCTGACGCTTATTATGTTGTCTGAGATATTTTAATATTCTATAAATTTGTAAAATATTAAAATATATATGTATATTATTTGGTGAAATATAATTCATCGAGTTTCTCAAATGAATATACAACAATATTTGAGTTCAATTAATAAAATGAGGGGCAAAGAATAATTGTTTAACTATTATTAATAAAATCGAAAATTAATAAATTTAATAAATTTTTGATATCAATCTATCGAATTTATTAATTATATCTCATAATAAAATTTAATCATTATTTTTTCCGAGGATTTTGATTCCTGCGCGAAAATGACCCTTAGCAGTTAATATTTTAAGTCATCTTCGCGCGCCAAAGACACAAAGAGAACACTCGTCGAATATATCAGATTCTCTCACGTATAAATGAGAGAAGAAAAGAATAAAATAAAAACCAACAAAAATAAGACCGGGAAGTAACGAGCGCAACTCGCGATGCTGTGTTTGTGCAACATGTGCTTCTGATTTATTATATTGCATGTTAAACATGTCGCCAGCTACTACTGTGTACGTACAGTTGAGATACGCACGTGTCGATGATAGTACGATTCTACTTGATGTAATTAACTTGTTCCTTGTTTGAACATTATAATAATACGACACGATATAGTTATATCACATATCGGAGTATATGGTGATATGTTATAGTCACTCTTGATGCACACTTACCACTTATCAGTACGACAGAGACACGCTTATTCCGCATTGCTCTGTATCTTTCTATTTGATATCAATAACTGTGTAATTACGTACAATAATTGTATGATAAATTGCGTCTCCCAAAGCGTACGATACAATTTAATCATAATTACGACAGTGATGTATCGCGATATTGCGAAAGATTACGGCAGAAATTTATAAGTAAAGTCTTGTACTCTCTTGTGAGAGAAAATAATCTCGATTTTCCCATTCGTCGCGATCGAACGAATCTCCCCTTGAAAGCAATAAATATTAATATTTATGTCTATCCACGTTGCGTTGATCGACACATGGCATTGAAACATTATAGAAAAAGGTCGAACGATTATTTTTCTATTTTATCTTCAGATAGGTCGAGATTATTTTCTCCTGAAACGAAATATATTCTTTTATGAAATTACAGTCGGCAAAGCGTTAAAATAGTTTCGTCGGCACCAAAAACTTCATTCTAAATCTATTTTAATCGTGTACGAGTAGAAAGGGCATTCTTTTAATATCAACGACAGCAAAAATTATTTTTTACATTAATCGTGATGTAATAACGATCGGTTTGCAGAAAAGAAAATGGTTGTTCGTAGTAAAGAATTTTATACCTGAATACACAGTGAGGATAGTCTCTTTCGTATACTTTATTATAAAATAATTTGCTATGAAAACATCCATATACACACTCGTGAATATACACATACGTACTCGCATATATTTTTCAACGACTGTGTACTGTAAGTGTGAAAGTGTAATATATAAATATATTTATTTACTCACAATGCGGGGGCTTTGTGTAACGGATTTTTTGTATTATTTCCCTTGCGAGATCTGTAGCAACCCAGATAGTACGCATGTCTAAAAGACGTCGTAAAGACAATACTTTGTTGAATATTTTGTTTCGCGTATTTTCGTTACACACGAATTACAGCATTAAATACCTTTATAATTAATACCAATAAAAATACCAAAGTCACAAGATGACTGTTGCACATTAGCTGTCTCATAGTTTAGTTCTAAAGACATTTAGTGCTACAAAATTGCGATAAGTTATGTTTTTCTTTAGACTTTTTGGTGTTTAAAGAGCACATTTGCTTAGCAACTAAAAATCAGTTTGTGCATTGTTTTGTTCAACGATCAAATGCAGTCATTTGCATTAGTCTGTGCTGATTATCTAATTACAAAACCTAATGAGAGTTGAGTAAAAAGACCTGTCTACAGTGATTAATCTAATATAAGCCAAGATTTTAAAAGATCGAGGAACTAATCGAGCTTTTAAGAATTAATCGGACATCGATCGACTCTTGCTAATCCCTGACAGAGCCAATCAAGATTTAGCCTCAAATCACCTGATCTAAAACTCAGCATCCTTATTGGTTCTCGTAAGCAATTCAGTAGGAAAAATAGTATCGCGTATCGTTGGCTTCAGTCCCAGTCTACAATAGATTTAGGCCCGATTTCACCAATGTTGTTTAACTTTAAGCTTAGCTTACTTCGTTCTTTGTCTCTTTCTAAAGTAACAATTGGAAAAAGACAAAGAACGAATTAAACTAAGTTTAAAGTTAAGCAACGTTGGTGAAACCGGGCCTCGAGTCCTATATATATATTTTTTTGCACTCTGCGTTTTTTGCAACGCCTTCAAAAATAAGTATAAATATTATAAAGGTATTATAAAATTTTGTAAAAACTTGTCTATCACAAAATTTTGAATCATACAAATAACCAGATAACATCTTTACATTCCAAAATCTTTGTCTCTAAGGAAAATTTCACTCGATCATCCCGAAACCTTTTCGAGAGTTTCCGATTTGCTCCGATCTATTTCTCGAATAAAATTTCTCAGCAGAGAAAATGTTTTGTTACGCAACCCAGAGAACATGCATGCCTAAAATACATCTTTAAGACGTATTTTATTAAGTATGTTCTCTGGGAACCTTGATACGTGCGTGTCGGACAATCGGTGTAAACACGACCTAAGCTAACGAAAACAAATACTATATAACGGAAAGAAGAAGACGAGGTAGAAGGTATAAACCAGACCACCGGTGCGAACGAACGTTACTTTTAACAGTCTTTTCTACATTATCACAAAAAGTCGCGAAAATGGATGAAGAACGCGAGGTATTGATATCCTTGAAAAGTTTGTTCGAGTTGTGCGCGTTCACGGAGTTCAACAATCTTGAATCCACCAGCATCCACGCCAGAAACCCGAGCCTCTGCAAAACAGACGCCGAAGTACAGTTCGACCGCTACTATCAGTTGTACAAATTCGAGGAACTAGATGAATTAGAAAAGGAATTAAGCGATCTGAACACTTTCTCCAAGATACTCGCGGTCGACAAGCGTCGACTACATCTTCTAAGCATGGTCCAGGCACCGATGAATCGTGAGATGAAGATAGCAAAGAATCTACTCAACAATTACTCCTTTCAAGTAGGAGCGAAGCTCTTGCCACATGACGAGTTAATAAACCTAGGTTTGGATCTTGGCAAGTTTCTCAGGGACGCCGGCTGGTATGCGCAAAGCAAGGACGTGCTGTTGGTCTGCAAACAATTATGCATAGATAACAATCAGACTCCTGAGGACAAAACGTTGAATTGTTTGCACGAGCTGTTACGCGCACAAACGGCGTACTGTGACTTCAATGGAGCTAAAGAGACTATCATACTTGCCAAGCAAATTCTAAAATCAGAGAGCATGGTGAAATATTGCGCTGCTCTTTTTACTGAGTTTAGTGTACTAGAATATTTACACAATGAATATGACAAAGCATACGGATGGAGCAAAGCAGCGTTGAAAAAATTAAATCCAACACTTTCCAAGGAGACCATCGTCGACATTCTAAGACAGGCAGCAAAGTCACGCATGATGTCGGCTCAGCAACACTCGCTTGTGTCCCAGAAAGCCGGTTTACTCATCAAGGAGGCCGTATACCTCGCGAGGGAAACATTCGGTACAGATCATCCAAAGTACAGCAACGTTCTCATCGATTATGGGTGTTTTCTAATGAGAACTGACAGCAAGAACCATATTATAACTATATACAGGACTGCGTTAGATATTAGAAGGAAGATTTTCGGGGAGAATAATCTTTATGTTGCCTTGGCACATAAACACTTAGCTTACTGTCTCATTGAATCGGGAATTAACCCTGACACATCTTACATTGCAAAACATCACGCTGAAATAGCTGTAGCTATCATGGAGAGACATTTACCCCCGAATCATTTCTTGCTCGCGAATGCTAAGAGAGTAAAAGCGCTTACTCTTGAGCTCACCACTGTATTGATCGGACCGTTCGACCGTAATATCTTACTGGAGTGCGAGGTTCTTTACTTGTCTGCTTTGGAAATATCGAAGAGTGCATTTAACGAAAGTAGCCATCTAGTTGCGATACAATACACAGAGTTGAGCCGTTTATACCAGACTATGAACCGGTTGAACGAAGCGATGGCGATGATTAAAAAATCTATGGCTATTAAAACGCAGTTAGAACAAGAGGATTATGAATTAACTGTTAGTATCGAGTATGAAGCTTGGCTACACTTTTTGCACAAGCGATACGAACGCTGTGAATCGCTTCTTCTTTGTTGTCTCGAAAGGCGTAAGTATATATAATATATGTAAGTACACGAGTTTGAATTGCGTCCATTATGAGACGAAGCGCTAATATATTTTGCAAAATTTTATTTCGACAGGCTCGGCGTTGCTCGGAAAAAGTCATAGCAGTTTAAAATCCGTGTATGACGTGCTTTTGTTTGTGTACCGCACGACAGGTGCTCAGGAAAAGTTATTCCAGTACACAAAGAAAATGAATCATTGGCAGGAGCTTAAAGACCAACGTGTTCTAGCCGAGGAACCACCGATCGATGTACAAAGGCCTTCACAACCAATCGCAGACGTAATAAAACGGTATATTGCCTGAGATATAGTAAATGTGTCTAATTTAAATTTTATGTCATTGGTTACAATGCAACTTGCTGATTACAAGGCATTTTTGGGTCAAAGCAGGAAAAGAAGGAAACTTATAATTTGCCTTAGAGATTTGTGAATCACCGATTACAGATTTTTCTTACCAAGATTCAATAGTATCAGTAATAATGCAATTATGTACAAGACCGCGTTATATTAGAAGAACAACCCGAAAAACACGCATGTCTCAAAGACATCTTTAAGTCTATTAAACCTAATCTACAATTATGTGCTTTCTGCATCCAGAAACATTCTATTTTATGTAAACAAATCAAAACGCTTAACAAACTTGTCGACAATTTACGATTGTACAATGTATAATGCACAATTTATCAACTTGCCCAAGTTTTGTAAACGTATTTATTGGCTAGGAAATAGAATGTTTCTAGACGCAAGGACACGTTCTAGATTAGCCTTTAGATGTCTTGTGTTTAAAAGACGTCGTAAAGATGTCTTTTAGACATACATGTTCTCTGGGAATTTTGACAGGAGTTTATGTTGCCTCGACACGTGAAAGTTTAGGCTCTCTATACATGCGAAAATCATAACTCTAGCTAAAAGATATGACGTTGCGTACAATCACGCTGAAATAGCTGAAACAGATATCCTGAAGAAACATTTACCCCTGCTCGGTCATGTTTTTTTCTGTCTTATGTCGACATTTTATAACACGTGTGTGGTACCACAGAAGTAAATTAAATAATTGTCAGTGCGATATCATTTTAAACTTAAGCGGCTTTGAAAATGTAGACTTAATTAATAAAATATTTTTAATTGTCACGATACTGCAATATAAATATTGTGATTCTTATTTCTTTTAGTTTAAGTTGCTGTGCTTGTGTTGAATTATAATAGACTCTATAACGCTTATCCTTACGTTTTAGCTCCATATATTGAAAATTCATTCTTGCGTATAAATATATCTTTTCCATTTTGCGTATAATCATATCTTTTTCATCTTTTTGTACTATATATATTTTTTGCACTCTTGGCGGTTTTTTCAAAAATAAATATAAATATTACAAAGGTATTATAAAATTTTGTAAAAACTTATCTATCACAAAATTTTGAATCATACAAATAACCAGATAACAAATTTACGTTCCAAAATCTTTATGTCTAAGGAAGATTTCACTCGATGACCATCCCGAAACCTTTTCGAGCGTTTCCGAAAAGTATTGAGACTATAACATTCACGAAACAAAATTGATTTTAGATATACAGGGTGTCCCAATTTAATGTCCCACCCCAAATAACTTTTTTATTTTTGACCGCAGAAAAAAACGTTTCGGACAAAAGTTGCTTGGTCCGAAGGGGGACATAAGATGGTGCCATTAGTTTGACCTGGACGAGTTACTTGAGGGTCACGTAAAGGTCACCTTCAATATTTTACATGAAACCCCCTATTGTTTATTATACTATCTTATTCCGCTAATTAATACGAACAACTTTTGTCTAAAACATTTTTTTATTTGCCTGATACTTTTTGAAATATTCAAGAGAAAATTTATAACTTTTTCAATCGTGAACTTTTTCGTTCATGAGGTTTAGCTTATGATATCCCGATAACTGTTTGTCGGAGGGAAAAGTAGTGCATGACTTTTTCACTTGATTTGGTCTCAGGAGTATATTGTTGCAATAGTGCTCCAATTTTTGAAAAGTTTTGTGTAGTTTTCGTCCCCTCGTTCGCGCTATCGTCACTGTGCGCCGCTGCTGTTGAGGAATACATGCAAGAAACCATAGACATAGTATATCTAGACTGCTGGTTCTCTCAAATTTCAGGAGTGGGGGTAGAGCTCACGTAGAAAAGGATGCACTCTGTTTCGTGTCTGTGCGTTCTCTCTCGCACAGGTTAGTAACTGCTTCCCTTATCCCCTCTTTTCGCGTGTGCGAGAGAGAACGCACAGACACGAAACAGAGTGCATCCTTTTCTACGTGAGCTCTACCCCCACTCCGCCAACCAGCAGTCTAGATATACTATGTCTATGCAAGAAACGGTGCGTGATACGGAACGCACCTTTCAGTGATATGAAGAGTGTAACCAGCTAAGATGGAAATGTATAACTGACAGTGGAGATCAACGTCGACTTGGCGGAGTGAGACATGGGTTCTGTCACAGAAATGACGAACAACGATCATGCTTACGGGACGTTAAACTTTTATCCCGGTTTAGGACTGGCGATTATTTCCAGCGGATTTATAGGTTAGCGACGTGAGACGTTGACTCATTCAGAATTTCAATGTTCTAAAGTCAATATCCTATATTGACTTGATACCGGGTGTTGCTTGTCTTGCTTTTGCAGAAAGGAAACATTGAAACATGTTAGGAAGCAACAACGTATAGAAATTAATTGGATCTCTTAATTTAGGTGCCAGTTTTATCGTGAAAAAGGTGGCTTTAATTCAGCTGCAGAAGTACGGCGGGCTGCGCGCGTCGTCCGGTGGTTTCGGCTATTTGAAAAAATGGATATGGTGGGCCGGATTTTTATCCAGTACGTATAAACCTCGAGAGACTCCGGCCGATTCCCCGCACTTGCATGAAAACATTTGTATTGAATGTTACAGTGGCGATAGGGGAGGCGGCGAACTTCGCTGCGTACGCGTACGCACCAGCGTCGCTCGTGACACCGCTGGGCGCCTTAAGCGTTCTAGTATCTGCAGTATTAGCATCCAAATATCTTAACGAAAAGCTCAATTTGTTGGGAAAGGTAACGAGTAGTTGTACGCGGAGACATTAAGTGAAAGCAACAGCGAGTTTGATTGCCGACGCTACAGTCAATTCTTATATTTAAGGATCATTTTAAATATCTCGTGAAATACTTAGCCAGATAGCGTCCGTACGAATCAGTTTTTGGCTAAATAGTATTTAAACATATATTTAAGATTATCGTAAATCTGAGAATTGACTCTGAACAAGCCTTGGGGCTGTCGCACACAAAATCGCATAGCTGCATATATGCATAGCGTAAGGGCCAGGGCACAAAGCAACGTAAACGTAACGTCATATGTAATTGGAGGTAAGTACCACATACGCCAAAGCTCGTACGCTAATCTACGTTTACGTCTTGATCGTAAGCTATTACGTCGCTTTGTTCTCTGACCCTAAGACCGTCCTAAACCAATGATCATGTTATGCGCATCAATGCGGCAACTGGATGCCCGATGCTCATTGGTTTAGACAATTTTTATGCTATGCAATTTTGCGTGCGATAGCTCTTGGTGCGCATTCAGCGCGAGCAACTGAATTTACTACAGCTTACAGTATATGTTTTATGATATTAACGCAGCGATTTGTCTTTTATCTTTTCCAGATAGGCTGCTTGTTATGTATTTTAGGTTCCACGATAATAGTATTACATTCCCCAAAGGAGGAAGAGGTCAACAGTTTCAGCGAGCTGATCGTCAAGATAAGAGAACCCGGTTATATGCTGTACGTTTTAATTGTGATAATGTGCTCATTGTCGATCATCTTTCACTTCGGCCCGGCGTACGGTCAGCAGAATATCCTTGTGTACGTCTGTCTGTGCTCGTCCGTCGGCTCTCTGACCGTTACGAGCTGCAAGGTTCTGGGCCTGGCGTTGAGGAAGACCATCTCCGGTGAGGAGAACGCGCTCGGCAATTGGCTTACGTGGGTCTTCTTCTTTAGCGCTATCCTCTGCGTCATGATACAGATGGCTTATCTGAATAAGTTGCTCGACCTGTTCGACACGTCGGTCGTTACGCCAATTTATTACGTTTTCTTCACGACTCTGGTGATAATAGCGTCCGCGATTTTGTTCAGGGAATGGACGAAGATGAGCGCGGAAAATATTCTAGGCGCCTCCTGCGGCTTCCTCGTAGTTATAGTCGCTATATTTTTGCTGAACGCCTTTAAGGAGGTGGACGTGCATTACGGTAATATCAAGCACTTGTTTAGGCCCAAGAGGGAGATGCTCTCGAATTATAATTCGAGGTGGGACGATCAGGAGGGAACGAGAGCGTCCAGAGTGGAGTCCCAGCACTTGCTTAATCATATGTACAATTCGGATCTTACTAGGACTATTTAAATATTAAATTTTCACAGAAATGCATACAGCTTGCTGTGTATTAAAATCCTGTACAGCGATCGAGAGATTTAGGAGGATAATTTGTTGATCCCTTTACAACCGAATGTATATATGCTGTCTTCGAAAGTAATAAAATTCGAACGTTTTTCTAGCGAGTTCTATCGTGAGTGACGCGTGTCTCGTTATGAAAACGGCCGACTGGTAGACGGTGGATCCCAAGTTCAGATTGTATCACATATGTCCCGCAGTCTTTGCATGTCTTATACATTATTGTTTCCATGGAAAACGATGAGAATATTCTGGACGTTGCAAAAGTTATAAAGAATCCTCGTTACTAGTGGCCAGGCCAGAAGAGAATTCATAGGAAAATATCAAGTTATAATATTCCACTGTTCTATGCGTTTTCCTACTTTTTCAAAAAGATACAGATGTATAAAAAGTTGTTCGAATTGTGAATAACTAAAAAAAATCTAGTTTAATTCTAGTCCTGTCGAAAACTAATCTCTTCGCATTATATCTTTGTTCTCTTGGAAAAATTCCCAGGAAGTTGAATGTACGATAATACAGTTTGCCAGTAGAATCGAGCAGAACATTGTGACAAGTCAATTGGTGTCCGCAATACCTAGAATTGTGTTTCACGAATTGAAACTAATTGTAAATAACTATAGAATCTATATCGTATATCGTTTCGATTTTGTCAAACGATTCCGTTATCGATTAGACTCTATTCACATATTTCTGTTAACATTCCCCAATAGAAGTATATTTTATTCAAAGTGACTATGAAATCGACGAAAAGTGCAATAAAAGTTAATAAGAAATGATCAAATGTGTTTTAAAAGGAATAATAGTTTTCCTTATAAAATTCAATATGTAAGACTGCGGAAATGTGAGAAGAATTAAATTGTTAAAAATTATGACAAGTCTGACTAAATTTTATTAAAACCGTACTTTTTAGTGAAAAATTGAAATATCGACATAAAACCGGGTTAATTAAGAGAGAGAGTTGTTCAAATTCCAGCAAAATTTCATTGTATCTTCAGTATAACATTTCCACCAGGGTTCTGCCAACCAGCTTGTAGCCTGGACCTCTGTTTCCAGACGGAATTAGCTGTCTAAGAATTAACTTTGAAAAGCTATCCATTGACATAAACACGAGAAACGGGAAAAAAGTATCAGGGCCTATCCAGACAAACTGCACAGGTGCATAAGCATATGCATAAGAAAAATTGATTGGTATATTTTCTTATGCGTGCATTTATGATCCAATCAGATTCCTTATGCGTACGTTTGTGCGCTATGCAAGTTTGTCTGGATAGACTTACGAAATCTAATTCAACCCTTATAATGTCTATTCGAGTGATTAATCGCCCAAGGAGAACAAAAAGTCAGGGTGATGTCAATTTGATGTCGTCATATTGACCAAATTTATGTCAAATTTTGGTCAATTTGATACCAATTTGACGTCATCCTAACTTTTTGTTCTCCTTGGGCGATGACCACGGGTCATCGCCCAAGAAAAAGTCATTCTTGCCCTTGCGGAAAAACCACCCTAAGTTTTGAGTGTTAACACTCGATTGTACGAATTTACTCGCAAATTTGGGCGTAAATGTTTAAATCTGGGTGTTTACGCCCAAAAGAATACTTTGAAACGTTTGAGGCAACAGAGCTTGACTGCAGCCACCCTTACGGAAAAAACACTCAAGTTTTGAGTGTTAACGCTCGATTGTCCGAATTTACTCTCAAATTTGGGCGCAAAGACCCAGATTTAAATATTTACAGTAAGAGTGGCTGCAGTCAGCCTGTTGCTTCAAACGTTTCAAAGTATCATTTTCCTTTCTTTCAGAAAAGAGAATTGTACTTCGAAGCGTTCGTAGCAGCGGCTCGATCGGAACCTTCTATCTTTCTGACGGCGAATTGGCGGTCTAGGAATTGGACTTTGAAAACCTATCTACGACATAAGCATAAAAAAACGGAAGAAAACCGCATTGTAAAATCTAATTGTCAATTCGATTAATCTAACCGATGACCGTGGGGTCTAAAGCGAAAAGTCATTTTTATTTTTGCATCAGATAACACGAGCTTATCACGTGATCGACTTGATATCCGAGCAGACGTCGGCGACGTCGCGAGATTCGTCCGCGGCGCTTGTCATACATGCAGGATGGCGTTCAACCTGGCCGCGTTCTCGTATATCGTCGCGTTGATCGGCGACGCGTTTCTGATATTCTTCGCGATATTTCACGTACGTGTCCCCCGCGTGAGACGTTCACACGGCGGTAATACACGGCGGTGAGAGTCCGTTGGGCGCGCCGACGTAACAGCGATATAACCTTCGCGGACGAGGCGCAGCTGTTGTTGTTAATAACTTTCGGCATTAAACTTTGCAGGTGATCACGTTCGATGAGTTAAGGACTGGACACAAGAACCCGATCGATCAGTGCAACAACTTAAATCCGGTAAGACGCGTGTATTTGCTGCCGAACGCGACACGTCCCGGGATCGAGCCTGGCTAAGGCGAATCTCTTCGGCTGCAAATTTTGTCGACGGCACGCCAGCAGGGATACTACCGGAATCTATTAGCGGAACGCGATGGCAGAATGACTGGGCAAAATCTGCATTTCGTAACGACGTGTTCCAATTCAATGTTTTAAATTGAATGATGCTAAACTACTGGTGGTCTTTCGTTCAGTCTTTACCGGCGATCCAACGGTCGGGATCACATTGGCGGACTTAAAGCAGAGTCTGTAGCCGATGCCCACGGCATTCCGCGCGAGTCTGCTGGCGTTCCGGCTCACCGGGAACGTTACCCGCGGCTGACGATTGTTCAATACCTGCGCACTTTGATTTCAGATCGTCCTACCGGAGTACATACTGCATGTCACGATAAATATTTTATTTCTGATCGGCGAGCAGTACTTTTCCCTGTTCATCAACATTCCGCTGATAGCCTACCATGTGTGGCGATACATGAACAGGCCTCTGATGACAGAGTCGGGCCTCTACGATCCTACGAGCATAATGAACGCCTACGACCTGTCCATGTACCACAGAGAAGGATGGATTAAACTGGCATTTTACCTCCTGTCGTTTTTTTACTATTTATATGGGTGAGTTCTCTCTCTCTCTCTCTCTCTCTCTCTCGCTCTCTCGTTCTCTCGTATGTCTTTGAAAGAGAAGCAACGCTAATCCCCCTGTGATTTGTATTCCAGAATGATCAGCTCTTTGATCAACTGAACAACCATCGAGAGATGGATGAAGATTTTCCACTGTCCCCGCACAACTGTTCGGTGAAACGGTTGCTTACACTAGAAGTACAAGTGACATCTCACCTAATTTATAATAATGGGAGTTTTCTAACTGCGCATTGTGAGAGAGTATTTCTTTGACATCTGTCTATAGTACCTAGGGTGTAAACTTTATAATATATGTACACAAACAAACATATGTGTATATATATGTGCGTGTAGTACACGTGCACACATATATATGTATATGACCTAGACAGTTTTCTAGATTATGTACAATATTATATTTCAAGTAATATATCTGCATAGATATGAAGGATTAGACGTATTTCGAGTCGAACTGAATATAATTTGCGCTTTTGTCGGCACATAAGTGACAGAAGTGACTGTGTATTATTTGTAAAAGTGCTTGATTTCGACGCGGTAGATGTAATAGCTTTTGATACCTTTGTATACGGAGCGTTCTTTTTCTTTCTTTCTTCACGTTTAGAATAGGTGTACATTTCACTTAACATTACACATACATGTGTCACAAAAGTATGCAAAGAATACTGCAGTTGTTAATAAAATGTGAAGTAAATAATATAGTAAGTGCACAAACTCCGTGTTTTTCAACTCTTACGTCTTAGTCTTAGATTGTGATAGACTTAGTCACGTCTTTATGATTTCTTTCGTGTAATGAATCGTCACACCTTTACAAATTTTATTCACAAGATCCTGGCCTCTCGCTGTAATTGTCCTTGTTCGATTACGTCAGGCGTGAGGAATGACACGTTGAAAATTCTTGCGTGCGTTATGTTCCTTCTTTTTCGAGTGAATAAACTTCTTCCGGTTAATAAATACGTACAAAATATGAATGTGATATATTAAGCCCGCGCGTAACCCTTGCTGATTTGTCTTTGAAGCAGCATCTCGCAAGTTACCAGATGTCATTCCATGTCTCTCTTCTTCAATTGATATGGCACCCTTTCAGTTTCCTGATTTTAGGACCGTTCTCGTCGCATGTAAACGTCTTCTGACGGTAGATCCATTAACATTTAACTCGTTTGATAAATCTTCGAGCGTTCGACTCGGATCTTCTTCGAGTAACTCTCGCAGTTGTACATCTTGGAATTTTTTAGGTGCCCCTTCGCGTCCCGGTCACTCACGTCTCATAATCACCCCTTTGAAATCGCCGAAAACCACTCTTTACACGTAGTACTCGACGGAGCAAGATCGCCGTAAGTATAAACTAGTATTCGATGCGTTTCAACAGCACTTTCTTTTCTGAATATAATAATAGAGTAACAATTCCCGCAACTGGTGCTTCGTTGGGGTAAATGTTGCCATTTTCGACGCAAAATAAAAATAAAGATGTTTATGCTTTAAACGAAATACTGCGATTCAAAGCTCACATATACACCTTCAAGACACAAGTATATCCGTTTCATCAAACACGAAATTAGTACCACTAACGAGACCTTTCTGAAAAGGGCGGAAATTTATTCCCATACTTAATAGTTCGAACAATTTTACGCGACACTCAAAATCCGTTTGATAGAGAAGAGAATACGTTTAAAAGATTGTATAGGTATTTTGTATGTAATATTTACATGATTATATACAGTTTAATTATAAAATAAGTATACACGTATAAATCACATACAGACATATAACAATTTGTTTTCTTATAATTAACTTATAATATATTAAAGTGAATCTTTCTCCCACTCTCATGTTTTTATTTATATAATCTTATCTTTAAGAAGTGCTAGAAGAGAAACTTATACGCCTAAAGCCTTGTAGAAAATGACTGCTTTGCGAATAATATTCCCGTAAGTATAGAACTGCCGCTTATTCACTTAATAGCTAATCGCATTTTTTTCACGTGGGAATAAAAGTGCAAAAAGCGAGAATATTCGACGGAATAATGTAAGCGATCCATGCATTGTTGAAAAGCGTGCGACTTTGTAACTTTTCGTTCACTTCGATATACCTATGGTCCTACCTAGAGTTCCTACTAGTGGTCTTAATTATTCGAAGCTTCGCAACTTCGAAGCTTCGAAGAAACGAAGAAACTTCGAAT